CAAATTATAAAATACAAATACAAATAAATACCCCAAGACTCCAACCTATAAAATAGACAAAACAAATAGATTCCAACTATACACCACCACAAAGATAGAAAAGGTGACATCAAACAATGCCTCTGCAATCGGCATCAAATGAAGGTCATAATCCTTTAATAAAGACCACAAAGTCATTGAAGACTTCCAAAACAATGAAGCACAATAAAAAAACCTGAAACACCTACTATGCACCGTACATAAGATTTCAATGAGAATGGTCTACTTCGTTAATAGTATTTGATGGGTTTTTCATTTGATATCACTTAAAAACTAGTTTATGATGTGCTTAATTTGTAAAGAAGAAGAACACAAATCAATGAAAAAAACTTGGTTACCTGGGAACTTGGAAAAAAAAGAAAAAAACAGCTTGACCTGTTTTGAATCTTCATGCGTATGACATATTAGTGTGGATGTGAGGTAAAAAGTGTAATTGTAAACAATATTCTAGGACAAACAAGTAATTGAGTGGGGTAACTGTCATATGCAACAAGTTGAAAAACAGCCCAAATTAAATGATGTATAATCAAACCCATATCTCAAGCCCAGATTCCTGAGTATATGCCATCACTTGGAATTGCATTTTGATGTGATGGGTAGAGAGACTCGATAAAGGTATAAATTGTCAATATGGATAGAATATGGGGAATTACTCTTGAGGGGCAAAGAACCTTTGGTTTTAATACCACTCGTGCATTAAAAGGAGTCTTCAGAAGACTCAGAACTAGGAAACTTGTATAAACACATGATACTTATATACAAGTTAGACTTATTCATTTTTTAGGAAGTCATGTACTAGGGTAAGTGAACTTATTTAAGTATGTGTGGATTAAGCTCACTTATCTATGTTGCTTTAATTCCCAAGTAAATTATACAATAACCTTTTATCTATAAAAAGTCATTATTAGAATAGGCAAATTTGTCCTGTTACATTTTGCCAACTTCCTCCCACATGGGAAAATTATCCATCTTGGAGAAGGGGAAAAACTTACCACTGAACCAACAATTTGCCAAAAAACAGGGGTGGTCATGAGCCGAACTCTTCACGAGCTACTTGATGAAACCGAGTCGAACCGAGTTCGAACCCAATTTGTAGGCTTATTTATTAATCAAGTTGAACTTGAGTCTAATAAGGCTCGGCTCACAACCCGAGCTCGAAAAGCTTACATATAATAATAATAATAAATTAAAAATATTATATATAATATTTTTATTTTTATATATAATAATAACTAATTATTATAATTCTTAATTTTTTAAATATCAAATAAAAAATATTATATATATATATATATTTTATTTTTATAAAACATTTTTCTCAAGTCAACAGCTCGAGCTCGAGCTTGAGCCTTGTACTACCTTGGCGAGCCGATCTCAAATATCAAGCTATTCGGCTTGGCTCGGCTCGAATCCACCCTACCAAAAAGTGAATACATAAAAGTTTATTTATAGAAAATTAGAACTCATTTTCCCATTTGCCAACTTCCTTTGCACGCAACTCCAACGCATGGTTTTCAAAACTAGACCGAACTGGACGCCCAGACTGAAAAACCGGAACAAGATTTTTCCCCAAAATCGGATTTTTGCCAAAAAACGTTAATTTGATCAACAAACCTAGGCAGTTGAACTGTTTGAATGATTCAATGGTTTTGACTATTTTTAATTTTTTTGTCAAAACGGGCCAACCATTCGGTTCGAATGGTCAGATTGTTTGACCCTAAAACCGGACTCCTGACCGGTTCATTGTCTGGATCGATTTTAAAAACCTTGCTCCAACGCATTATTAGATACATTTGCAAGTAAAACGAATCAGGTTCCCTCACATTTTGCCCCTGAATAGATGATAGGAAAACAAGTAGTATAAACTGCACAACCCCTTTCCTTTTTGTCGCCTTCCTCCTCCCAAATAGATTACTTGCAAGTCTTGCATTTATATATCCTAAGCAAAGGAGAACTAGGAAAAATTGAGTTGAATTATAATCGAAGCAAAATATGGAAAACAATATTAACAGAAGGGAAAATATTCACATATAGATTTGTTGTGTGGAGAATGAGTCCAAAACATGGGCTGTTTGATCAATAAGAACACCCCACTAGGCCCTGCAGGCAAAGTAATAGAGGTTTTTTCCCTCTTCAAAATAGGCCTGATTCAAATTGAACTTCAATCCCATCTTCTTTTTCCTCTTCCTCTACTTTGTTTCATTCTACATCACCACCACCACTATCATCATTGTCATCATCTCCTTTCTCTCTTTCTTTCCTGCTTCTCCACCAGACTGTTGTCACTAATTCACTATGGGAAATAGATAAGAATTCATTCATTATTCAAAAAAACATTGGAGGAATTCCAAAAAATAGCAATTTGGACTAAATGAGGCTGTTGAATCTCAGAGCATGTTTTAATTTGAAGGAATTGTCAGTGGGGATTGTTATGTGTCCCACTGCTGCTACCTACTATATCACATGCCCAAAAGTCTTGAATTCCTTTTGGATCTTCAATTCCCATGTGAATGTATAGTTACCAGTTCTAGGAGGACAAGAAGCCCGCAAACTTGAAGTAATCTTTCAAAACGATGGAATTTTTGGAAGCTTGGGCATAGATAGATATCAAACTGGACCCTTAAGAGTCCTGGCTGTTCTTGAATGAAGGTGTCGAGTGGGAAGGCTTCATTAATTCATTTCCACAAGCATTGATTGTCAAATGGGTGGATGTAGGTGTTTACTTGATTACTTCACTCTTCAGGGGAGGTTCATTCATTGGCTCATACGAATCTCTCACTTTGGGTGCAGGGCTGACATGGGATGTTCTTACTAGTTAATGAAGGTTTGTTACTAGTGCAGCTAATCCCAACTCATGAAAAATATAATGACCGTTTCTTCACCTGAAATAAATGGAAAGAATCTAATAAAGAGTTTAGTTCTCTTTCTTTTTCCATATTTTAGTCATTAGACCCACTTTTATAACAAGACAAAAAACATCGATTTGACTATTTCAACGGCGGACTTTCTTTACCAAACAAAATAAAAAAATAAAAGAAAAAAACGTCAGACTATAAATTTTAAAACAATTCTAGACGGGAGCATCGATCAAGTAATTTGATTTGCTTTTATCTCATCAACATAATCCCTGAGAAATGGGGTCAAGGTTTGAGTTGAGTTTCCTATATATTCAGAATTATTATCAATAGCTCCTTCTACTCAAAATTTTCACGGTTCCAACCTTCCCAGGTGAATAGTGAATACATTGGCCTTGTGGCTTCAGATTTTAATAGAGCTCACAATTGACGAAATAGAGAAGAATAAGTAGTAGTTTAAAATTAAAAAAAATTAGAAAACAATTCCTTGGAACGGTTTGTCAACTGCCATGGTGGTCATTATTCTAGGGCATCGTCCTGGAGAAGAGAAGTGGAGAGGATAGGATCTGTTATCGTCTTAATACTGATCATCTTATTATTGCCATGGGGAATTATAGCACAAGCATCCAATCAATTTATTGTCCCCCTCTAGTACTATATGTCTCTCATCTGGGCAATTTTCCCCTTCTCTACGTCTGTCTCCCCTCTTCTATTTTTTTTTTTTTTTTCTTAAATACAAAACTTGTAGGAAGAATCAATCAATCTATCTCTCTCTCTTTCTCTGTCTAAAGTTTAAAGTTTTAAACCATGAAAACCATGGGTGCAGTATTTATTCCGTCCTCCGATTCCCTCCCTTGCTAGTTACCAAAAGCTAGGGAATATGGTTGTCAATTGTCATGTGTGGATGCGTGACCTTTGTGATTCCTCAAAACCTTAAGCTACCCAACATAGTTGAGAAAAAAAAGAAAAAAGGAACGGTAATGTAGAAATTGAGTGATGCGGACAAAATGTGTGACCCCACCCCATGGTATGGTTCCTACAATTCAATAACTATTCTCAGGTTTTGCATTTCTATTGTTTGGATCGGGTAAAAAATGTAAGATACCACTACCAGTCAAAACCCATGTATTTTAATGAATGCCACTAGATTGGTTTACTGGTTGATTGGTTGATATATATGGTGGAACCCATGGGAGTGTCCGGATTGAATTAGTATTAACTAAATACAATTGCTATTAAGTATTGAATAGGTTATGGAACCAATGACAATTCCCTACACCAATATAAAATATATATAGGGCCCACAACCATTTGAATGATTTATTCCTCGCAATCACTTCTTACAGCATATGTTGTTGTTTTAAACGAGATTGGTGGAATTACAAGTTTACAACCATTCATTCAACCTCTCACCAATGCTCCAAACATTTTATAACCGACGTGGGATATTATCATTGGTTTTACAGCGAGCCATCCATCCATCCATCCAATTAGTTGGATCCGAGTACAAAAGAAAACCCTTTTAATGGTTTGTATTCTGGGTCCCCATAATTTTCCATCTGTCCCATGCTTGGTTGAGGGAGCAATAGGCCCATCATCATCATCCAATTAATGGGTCCCAACGAAAAGAAAAAAAACTGACCTATGCCCAAGCAAATCACCATAATCAGATCTTTTATTAAGCCTTATTTTAACGAACTAGACGTTTTTCCTACATTCATTTTAATTTTTATAATACCTAACACATATGCAAATATTCTCTCATTGTTTTTTTTTTCCTGGTCTGGTCTCATGTAACAAATATGCAAACCTCAAAATTCAAAGATGTTCCCTTCTCAAAGTAATGTAATTACGTAGCTTCTAAGAGGAGGAAAGAAAGTGAGAGAAATTGACCAAGGGCATCATCGTAATTTAAAGTCTCTAGAGACAGTAATCCAGAGTAGCCCGTCGTCAGTGACGTGTTCCTTCGTAATTCTTCACTTTAGGATTAGGATTAAGAGTGTTTTTAGTTTCTCTTAATTCCAATTAAGATTATTTAGGTTGCCATAAATTTGTCTGAAACACAGCAATCACTCCAACCCAACTCTCTCTCTCTACTGTATCTCGGAGGTGTAGGGGAGAGAGAAAAAAAGAAAAAAAAAAAAAAGAGGAAAGATCATTTGAGAAAGGAGTAAAGCAATAACCAAAACGAACGACAGCTATGACTCAGAGATGGTAGGGTTTTTGTAAATTATAAAACAGAAAACAAAAAATCACAGAAAAGTGCCCTTTAAAAACAAAAAGAAGAACTCGAACAAAGACAGAAGAAGCACAAGAAGAGCAAGGGAAAAAAAATAAAATAAAATAGAGAAATGCTTGTTCTTAGACGAACCGTAGCCGAAGATCCGTTCTGCAATCAGAGATCTCGACGAGAGCACGAGGTAGGTAAAAATCTAAATCGATCCACTCCTCTTTCGCCTTTTCCAGGCTTCTCAAATCACATTTTTTCTGTTCATTTCTGTAACCAATCAGCATTGGTTTTCGCTGTCGATGTATATGGTTTTGAAGGGTTTGTGTTTAATATCCGAGGATTTTGAGTATTCTACATTGTCGCGCCTAATATTATCTGTGAATCGTGTTTCCGGTTGCGAGAAACGGCTAGGTTTTTCTTCACTTTGTTCAAATACTTCCGATGTTGTTGCTGTGGTCCGGGAATTCGTTCAACTGATTAGATTTTTGCAGCATTCTTGCTGGATGAACTTCAAAACTTAATTATTTTTTCCCTACCCCTACACTAATTCTTCGTTTGATATTTGCTACCGAATTAGATCTGAAGCCTATTGGGCTTTTGCTTTCTGGAAAGGATGCCCTTCTATTTCCATGCGCAAAGATTTGAGATTGGTGCAGTTCGTTGGAAAATTAGAGTTTTTGCGTTTTTTTTCGTGGCTGCAAGTTTTATGAATATTCGCCCGTAAATCGAAACGTTCAGCTATCTTTCACAGGGATCTGCGAAAGTTTTCTTTTCCCCACTTCACTTGTTTAATCTAATGCACAATGTGAATCAACAAAGGGAACATCTTGTTGTCTGATTCCTATAATGTAAGCTTCGCGCACGCCCGTGCAAAGCTTTGCAATCGGTGTCACATTAATTATCTTCTGACACTGATTTTATCTTTTTTTTTTTTTAATTTTCCCTTTTAATCAACTGGTTACTTCACTAGTTGCCTTCTTCTTTCCGAAGCTGTGATGAGATCATGAATATTCTTATTTGCTGCAGATTTGGAGGATGTGGAATTTGAACTGCTAAAAAGTAAATCAGGTTTCTGGGAAGAGTTCAGGGAGGGGATATCGTCTCTATAATCATAGAAAATGAAATCAGACACGCTTCTTGATTATGCTGTTTTCCAGCTGTCACCCAAGCGTTCAAGGTAAAAAGGAAGTCATCTACTTATTTGATGGATTTTACGGGTTCATGAACTATCCATTTTTATTTTATTTTCTTTCTTTTTTCTTTCTCTCTTGGCAGGTGTGAATTGTTTGTCTCCGGTGATGGAAAGACTGAGAAGCTTGCATCAGGTCTACTAAAGCCGTTTGCTACTCATTTGAAAGTTGCAGAAGAACAGCTTGCTCAAGCAGCTCCATCAATTAAGCTTGAAGTTGAGAAGCATATAAGTTCCGGAACATGGTTCACCAAGGGGACTCTTGAGAGGTTGGCATTTTTTTTTTCGTTTCTTGTCTCTCTATTGATTGCCAACTGAATGTCTGAAGCCTTCTATTTGAGTAATTTGAACTTCAATTCATGCACATTCAATCAGTTCTCTTTTTCATTCCAAAGGTTGGATGGCTTGCAGTTTGATTTACTTGGGCTTTGTGGATATAGGTTTGTTAGGTTTGTTAGTACACCAGAGGTTTTGGAACTTGTCAATACATTTGATGCTGAAATGTCTCAGCTTGAAGCAGCTCGGAGGATTTATTCACAGGTATTAGCATCATTGCATTCATTTCTTCAGTTTCTCTAATAATCTTAATAAGCAATAGAGATTCTTCTGGCATTCACTGAAAGGTAAAGGTCTTCTTATTCAGGGAGTGGGAGATCAACTATCTAGTGCCTTGGGTATGTTTACTAATCTTTACTTTTAGGTTGTTCCATTTCATTTTGAGATGGTTCATGTTCATGGAAGCCATTGCTTAGAGATTACTTATTTACAGAATGCACAAATAATTTCTTTTTGTTCCGTAATCTGTTGTTTTTGTGACATGTGAGGATTAGGGACTTGCCAGTGTGCAATACACTAGTTGTCATTTCTTTCCTTTCTTTTTAGTTTTAGTATCTAACACTTTCTAGAGGCAATGATCATCTTCTATTTAATGGTAATTGATTTTGTCAGGTTCCTTTAGGCAGAAGGCTTCGGGATCCACTATGTAGATTCACATTTCTAGTGTATAATTATAATTATTTATTTTCCTCGTGATTTTTTCAGGGAAGTGTAGATTGTGCTGGGTTTGACATCCTTGATATGTTCCCATTTAATTGTTCTTTTATAACCTTTTCCATATCCATTGGAAAGTTTTGCTAAAACAGTAAATAATTGAAAAGAGATTGCTCAATAAAGTTCCTGCGTAACAACTATTTTCATACTTTAAACTCAGTATTTACCTAAGTGATGATCACAAATTAGCAGATACAAGAAAACGTTGGAGCATGGATAGTTAGAAGTTGGTCATTTTTCAATTAGCACTATCACAAGATAATTAATCCAATAAAATACACCAGAAAATGCAAAATAGAACACAAGCAAGTTGGTTACCCCCTTCGGAAGGAGTTGTGAAGTTGAACTGTGATGGGAGCAGTCAAGGCAATCCAGGACCTTCGGGTATAGGAGGGATCTTGAGGAATAAGGATGGCAACATTCTGTCCTTATTCTCAGGTCCAGTGGGTTATGGAGACTCTACAAGGGCTGAAATATTAGCTGTGGTACAAAGACTACAGATTTCCAACCAACTTGGAGTGACTAATTTGATAGTTGAARGAGACTYTAAGGTGATAGTGGGATGGATGTCGGACCCAGAAACTGTTGTTTGGGGATATAGGGACATCATCAAAAAAGTCAAATGGCTTACAAGCACCATGTCAGTTAGCTTTCAATGGGTTAGTAGATCGGCAAATGTTTTGGCAGATTCTTTAGCTAAACAAGGGGCTTCAAGGGATTCTCTGTTTTTGGCTAATTTGTAACTGCAATGCAATCTGAAAAGAGTTGGGTTTAGAACCATCTTTAAGGGGAGGTAACAGTGTAACACCTCGTGCCTCCTCTTAGGGTGCTTCATGCTTGTACTATTTCAATCTCTATTTAATAAAATACCATTCATTCATCAAAAAAAAAAAACACCAGAAAATGCTGCTAGCCTGGATTTACCAAGACAGCTGCCATCAAATAGAAACTTCAACCATACATGGATGGGATGGAGAAGAAGGCTAATTAATCAGGGAGGAATCTAGGATCTCAGGGAGGTTTCTTCTCAGATCATCTAGAGAGATTTCTTGGAGGTTGAAAGCCACCGGTGGAGAAATGAAAAATATCTCTGCACCTTAGTGCTTCAAATTGTCCTTTCTTGTTTTTAAATATTCTCATGTTTCTCTACATAACAACAGTATATTTTCCCAATGAACAATAAGATCAAAAGGAGCCCCACTTAATGGCATAGATAATAGTCTAATAATTTTCCACTAAACCTCACCCCTAAATGACTGTGAAGAGCCACATATCTTGTTCTTGTTTTTTATGTTTTCTATGTTTACTCCATCTAGTTTTCTTGGTGTTCTATCGAGAAGTCAAAGAAGAATTTATTAAAATGTCCACTAAATTATAAACCTCAAAACGTTATGTGTTTGGGTTGCGTGGGGGACAGCAAGTGAACAGGAAAAATTCTTTCAAGGGTACTGTGAGAAAGATATTGGCATTTTGTATACCATAGTATTGATAAAAAAAAATTTTGTATACCATAGTAATTGCCTTAATATTAGAGATCACATTTCTTTCAGGTTCAAAATCTCAGAAATACAACAGAACCTTGGAAAAAATGGTAGTAGTTAATGGCACAAACAATATAAGTTGGTTCTTGATGTTATCCTTATTCAATGATGCAAACTAGAGAAGAATATATAAATATTATATTTTAGTTGAATATTCATTTAGTGAATCATGTAAAGGTTACAATGGGTCTTCACCTAGGTTCAACACATAGTCCTTATTTATTTGTGCTAGTCATAGATGAATTGACTAAACATATTGAAGAGGAGGTCTCATGGTGTTTGATGTTTGCTTCTGACATAGTATTAATTGATGAAACTAGTAAATGGTTAAATACAAAATTAGGTTTATGGACAACTACATTAGAAACAAGAGTTTTTTTTTTTTTTTTCTTTTTTTATCAACATTAGGAACAAGAGGTTTTAAAATAAGTATGACAAAAACAAAACATATGCAATGTAAATTTAAGAATAACAGGAGTGCAAACCAGGGTGCACTTGGTATTTATCAAAAAAAAAAAAAAAACCATGGTACACTTAGGATTGGAGACCAAGAGATAACTCATTGTGACCTCTTCTATTATCTTGGTTCAATAATCCATAGTAAAGGAGAGATTGAGGAAGATGCCACCAATATAATTAGAGAAGGATAGGCAAAATGGAAGGGTGCATCTAGAGTCTTATGTGATAGGTGAATACCGCTTCAGCTAAAAGGAAAATTCTATCAAACAATTGTAAGATCATCTCTGTTGTATAAGTAGAGTGTTGGGCAGTTAAGAAGCAGTCTGTCTACACAATAAGTGTGGCAGAAATGTGAATGCTTAGATGGATCTCCTAGTGAAGTGAGAGGTGGTATCTAGAAGTAGAGATGATGGAGGTCTAGGAATAGGAAATGCCATTCACTGGTTGAAATCAATTGATCTGTTTAAAGACTTCTCAGCTGAGGACATAACATATACAGAAATTGGAGTGAGGTAGCAGCTATAACTTCCCTTAGGTCTATTGTGCAGGCGGAACTGTGGTCCCCATTAACACACAACACAGAATAAAGTTGAACTTTGATGGGAGCCCTATAGGGAACCTGGGCCTTTCAGGTATAGGGGCAGTATTCAGAGATGGAGATGGTAAAATTGTTGCCATGTTTTCGGGACCTATTGGAGTAGGTGACTTTTTGAGAGTGGAGGTGATGGCATTGCTTCAAGGTGTAAGATTTGCTAAACAGCTGGGGCTTCACCAACTAGAGATAGAAGGAGACTCTAAATTGCTAATTGATTTGGATGATGTCGGTCTGTTTGGGAGATTGGATGCATGGACATGCCATAAGAGAAATTTTCAGCATTACAAGGGAGATTGGGGCTTCGTTCAAGTGGACAAGAAAGTCAGCTAATGGACTAGCTGATACCTTAGCTAAACAAGGGATTATGAGGGAGAATCTATTCTGGACAGAGCTGTAAAAAAGGATTATAATGGGCTTAACAGTTGTATATGTTATTTCTTTAACTTTGCTTTAATGAAGTTACCATTTTCAATAAAAAAGAAAACTAGGAAAGACATGATTAAAAATGAAGTCATATGAAGGAACCTAGGAAACTTTTTAATGAACTTATCTTCTTTATTTATCTTAAAAAAAAGAAGAAAAACTAGAGTATCTCCAATAAGTGATAAAATGAGATAAAGTAGATTGAGATGGTTTGGTCACATGCATAGAAGACCATCTACAGCACCTGTAAGAAAAAGTGATCTGTTACACGTTTAATGGGCAAAAAGAGTAAGTGCCCATAATTTAACAATGAATATGGCTCTGAACAAAACAGAACGGTGAAACAGGATTGATGTACCTAACCCCAGGACAAGGCTTAGATGATGATGGTGATTCTTTTTTGTGCTTCACCTTTTTTCTCTTGTCTTGTCTTCCATTGGACTCTTATGTTTCTTGCGTTCAAGGATCTGTTTTGCTTTATTTGCTATCAATGGAGACGGATGAATCTCGTTTGCTATTCTATAAGAAAATTATGCTACGAATCCTAGATTCAGAATAAATTTTGAATTTGGTAGGTGCCATATTTACCGGAAGATACCATTTGACATCTATGATTTATTACAGGGGGAGATGAAGGAGGAGTGACTGAAGCTGCTGATATAACCAAGTCAGTCTCCATTTTTGTTCCTGGCGATTTAGTCTAAATAGTGTTATGTTTTGGATAAATTCTATGTTTATGTCATTGTTGAAGTTAAATTTTCTTTTGCCAACCTTTTGTGGTTACATTAACATATGAGAATGCCTGGGAAATGCAGTTCAGCTAGATTGAGTGTAAGTTTTACAAAGTTTCCTGGATAAAAGGATATAAATATATCATTAACTGTCCAAGTCCAACTGTCAAGTTTTAATATACAACCACCGAGTTTTACAATTTGAGTACTGAACCAAGCCTTTTGAGTTATGGGTCTGGATTTTCTAAAGTTTCTTGGAGTGAAGCTTGTGCATGTTCAACAAGTCGTTAAATTGTATTTAAACTTTAAAACTTTCTTGATCCCAAGAAAGAATGTAAATTTGTTGAGAAAACAACTTTATTCTTTCTGGCAGAAAGAGATTTATCTTTTTTTTGAGAAGTTAACTGAATTCATTGAACAAAGAGAGGGGTACACAAGGAGGTGTACAAAACAAACGGGTCAGACCCCTAAAAATTATACAGGAGGAATCTTGTCACAGGAGAGTGATATTTATCTGGGGGATTGGCCTGAGTTTTTGGTTAAGGGCCAGTAGGAGAGTGATATTTGTGACAAGTCCCACCAGTTAATCAGCTGACATGGAAACTCTACTGTTACAAATTTTTTGCTGAATGATTAAATGAGACCTCTTATTGCATAGGCTTTTTATTGAATGTGATGTTGGGCTATTCAATATGTTCATATTTTCTTCTATAGCTGCTTCAGTCCCTGTTTTTCTTGGTAACTCAGGAAAGAGCTTCTGAGGGCTATTGATGTGCGGCTTGTTGCGGTTAAGCAAGACTTGACAACAGCTTGTGCACGAGCATCTGCTGCTGGTTTCACTCCTGACACTGTTTCAGAACTCCAACTTTTTGCTGATCGCTTTGGTGCTCCTCGTTTGAAGTAAGAAGTCAATAAAATCTCAATTTTAAAATTCTCAATCTGTTTTTCTGAGAAAAGTTTGCACAAGTTTTGTTCTATTGCCGTTACAGTAAGCTGGGCCTACAAACTGTGGAGAGGCTGGAAGCTGATGCTTTTTGCAGTAAGGAGGTCCTACCTTCCACAGCGATTTGTTGCTCTGTTCATAAAAATTGGTTGTTGCAACTGTACCTTCAGGCAAACTTGTAGTTGGTATAAGACTCATGGGGAGCTTTTCCCCTTTTATTTTTCTAACAATTGCAAAACTAGAGTCAGTAACTTGTTCATGTGGCACGTGCACAATGTTAGATTTGGTTAAACACTTAAACAGCCCTAATTGATCCAAGCATGGCATTACAAGATGTTGGAATGCTGTCTCAATTTGATCACTGCCTCAATGGAATCTAGGGCCATAGCATACAGTATCATGGTTGGTGCACTAATTGACTTGATGGTGTTGCTAGGAAGCCCGAAGCCATCAATGTGCCATTTTATAAATACAAAGTTTTGCAATTATCATCTTAATAATTAGGTTAGGGTCAAAGTCTAAGTTACTTAAATAAGCAATTAAGCTGGGCGTTGGCTCCTGCCTTGCTGAATGGCATGCTAGGATGATTACTTCACCCCTAAATATTTTACTATGTGACTATTTATCTATTACGGTGGCATTTCGAATGGGATTTGTTTCTTGTGAAGTCTACAAAGTCTAATTAGATCTTATTAGGATAAGATTTTTATTTTTTGTATCCTGATTGGACCTTTATGTTTGAATTGCTGATTGGAGTGGTTATTGTAGTTTGTTCTCTTTGATCATAGGTACCATAGGCTTTCATATCGCTATGAAAATTTAGAAAGATTAAGAGAATAAAGGAAAAAAATTATATGAACAATTAAGAAGTGATTAGTAGTGCTTCACTCACTTATTAAACGGAGTAAAATTTCATGTTTAAGTGGTTCCATTAGAGTTAGAGTTGTAAACAAATGCACTAAAGAGGGGGATAACTATTTATATGAATAACATTTGGTAATATTTCTGTCTTTTAAGTGTCACCAAATAAGCAGTTTGGTTCAGCTTACTTAGCAATTACCAAGCAACCTCTAATTCATCAAAATCAACAGTTATGAGATAGCCACAGAAAGAGTGGTGATCTTGTAAGAATGCTATAAAGTGTATTTAGTCTACCATGTTTTTTAGTCATTGGCTTACAAATAGAAAAAAGTTGCAATTTCTTTGTCTTCTTAATCTTGAGGAAATGACGTAAATCTGAATCCGATCTCTGACAAGCCACAATTTTTGAGAGTAGTCCTGAACTCTGAACTGTCAAAAATAACTTTTCAGCTTTTCTGGAGTTCTGAAGTCTGAATATAGTGAAGCCATTTTGATATTCTGAATGATGAAGCCTCTAAAAAGTCTGATTTACAGTTTTACCGGCATAAATCTATATACTTTTTGATCACTTAAATATATAATATGTTTTATTATAAATTATAATTATTTATTTTATACCACTACAAACATATTTCTATAATATATGCTATTTTTCTGTAACTATTTCTTTTTTATTGTAATTATTTAATACTGAATTTATTTAGAGGTGAGTTCACCTCTGAAAATTAAGGGAAATTTTCAGAAGTCAGATGTGTATTCGGATGGTTAACTGAATGACCATCTAATATCTGAACAGAAAAAAAAATTCAGAGTTGAGATGCTTGTTTAATACTGCTGAGCCCAACTTGAAATGGCAGGGTTTTCACAAGTTACATAGAGCTTTCCAAGCAAGTCATTCATTGAGTCAGCATTTGCTGGGGCCCCAATTTCCTTTTCGCTATATGTTTTAGAACACATGTTTATTGGTGAATTATGCTGATGCTATATGCCTTGTTGTTCTCCACTCAGTTTGTGGAGGTCTGTGAGGGTTGGTGTTCCTGGTGTTTTAAACTAGAAAATGGTTGGTGTGTGGTCCGATGTGGTACTGGGTTTTCTTGAACATTGAGAATCTTGAATCAGTTAGTGTGATAATAAATTGTTAACTTTTTAGAAAGATGAAAATGTACATTTCATAGGACAAGAATGTTTATCTCGTAACATCTAAAATGTGGCTATAAATCCAATTCTGAAACATTTTCGGCCACTTAGGCATGGTTGCAATTTGTCAATTCTGGTGTGTTTCTTCTTTTAAAAGCCAACTAAGTTTTTTATTCTTTAGAAAAATGATTTTACAGTTTATTTTCCCATCCCTCATGTTGCCTTACTATTTTCTTTATTGTTTTTAATATTAAATATATAATTTGCAGCGAAGCATGCAACAAGTTTATCTCTCTCAGTCAGAGAAGGCCAGATCTGATCAAGACATGGAAGGCTGGAGGGGACGATCATACAGTCCGATCCTCGTCTGGGTCAGATATGTCAGTTGATGACTCAACTGAAGAAACCGTCAGATCTGATGGCATCCATCAACTCCAACATCAAGCTCAACAGCAGCAGCAGCAAACCAGCCAAGAACGAAACACAACCCCAAACCTAGAGCTGCAATTCAAACCCTCCAGTCATCAACGCCAGTCCTCCCTCTCCTTCCCAGTACGCCGCTCCTTAAGGGAACCGGGTTCTGAACGAGATGATGGTGGTGGAGAAAGTGAAGCTAGGATTGAGAAGGAAACTAAGCAAGAAAGTGTAACTGAATCCTCTCAGACAAATCAACCAGCAAGGCGGTTAAGTGTGCAGGATCGGATCAACTTGTTTGAGAACAAGCAGAAGGAGCAGTCAGGTAGTGGTGGTAAAGTCGTTGTTGGGAAGCCTGGTGAGCTCCGAAGGCTACCTTCGGATGTCTCCTCAGCTCCCCAAGTTGTTGAGAAGGCTGTATTGAGGAGATGGAGTGGGGCCAGTGACATGAGCATTGAGTTGAGTAACGAAAGGAAGGACACTGAGAGTGCTGCTACAACACCTTGTTCTTCCTCGAACTCCCAGGCTCAGTCCAGTATGTTCTCTATTGTGTCTGAGGATAAGGGCATCAAGGGACCTAGAGACAAAGTGACATCTTATAAGGCTGAGTTGAGGGTTCCTCCTGGTAGAGTAGAGGATTCTGCATTGAAAGATACGGCTAATTCTCAGCCCCAGGTTGGCGGTTTTCCCACTAGGGAAGAGAATGTTGAGCTAAAGGATTCTGAAGCCAGGTTGAATGTTTTTTCAGAAAGCTCAGAGGATGTTAAGATCAGAGATAAACCTGCTTCTCGGCCTCGATTTAACAACACCTTTTCTGAACAAGCAGAGAATGTTGGGTGGAAAGGCCAGATGCCTTCTGATACCCATTCACAATCAGTTACAGGTGGGGGTGAGGATTCTGATTTGAAGGATCAAGCATCTTCTCAGATTCGATTCAGATCATATCCTGCTAGAGTGGAGCAGGTTGGAATGCAAGATCAGTCATCATCACTAAACTTGTCCAGAACATCTTCTATTGGAGCAGGTCATGCTGGAGCAAAAGATCAACCTACTTCACAGGCAATGTTTGGAGGTCTTACAGCTAGGAGAGATGATGTTCATCTGAAAGACCATGCTGCATCTAAGACCAAATTTGAAACTTCTGTGAACACAATGGATGATGTTGAAGTGGGAGGTCAGCTGGTTGGTCAGGCTCTGTCCAGGGCAGGATCCACTTCAACAGTGGACACTAAACTGAATTTGAAAGAATCATCAGTTTCTCAGGTTAAGCCAAAAGCTTTCTTGGGTAAGTTTGGAAGCAGCACTGAAACAACAAACCTTGCAGCATCTGAATCTCAGTATAAGATCTTTGACGGTAGTTCCTTGGCTTCTCAATCTCGATGGAGGTCTTTCCCTGGAAAAATAGAGGAAGTAGGGAAGAAAGAACTGGTGTCTTCTGAGTCCAAGTTTGGAGGTTTTCCTACTGAAGTGGAAGATTTCAGTGTTCAGGGGATGAGGTTGCTGAAACAGAGTTCTCTTTCTGAGCAAAGCAAGAGGTTGCAGGAAAAGAGGAGTGAGAGCATCCCTAATAATACGACCGGTGAGCCAGTTATTCCCACAAGAAAGGTCATGGAAAGCCTGGAGATGTTTAGTTCAGCTGCAACAGCTCCAGTTGAGCAAGTTCAGAAGGTTAGGCAGTCAAAAGGTAATCAGGAACTCAATGATGAGCTGCAGATGAAGGCAAATGAGCTCGAGAAACTTTTTGCAGCACACAAACTTAGGGTTCCTGCTGAGCAGTTGGGTTCTGCACGAAGAAGCAAGGTAGCTAATGTGCAAGATGAGCAGACTGCTAGTGACACGCATGGAAAACCGACAGAGTTAACTCCTGTACAATTACATGAGAAAAATCCTGTGAAGGAACCTTTTGGGAGTTCCAGCAAGGCAGATTTTGATGTTGGTTCATTGATGAAGATGGTAGACAACCGTGGCTTTGGTAGTTCTATAAAGCACAATGTTACCGAGTTGGGTTTGTCGGAAGATTGCAAAGGGAAATTCTATGATAGGTATATGCAGAAACGGGATGCAAAACTGAGGGAAGAATGGGGTTCAAAAAGGGCACAAAAAGAAGCCAAGATGAAAGCCATGCAGGATAGCCTTGAACGTAGTAGAGCAGAGATGAAGGCCAAGTTTGCGGGGTCTGCAGACAGACAGGACTCTGCTCTTCATGCTCATCGACGGGCGGAGATGCTGAGATCTTTCAAAATTCATCCAGCTGCAAAGAGCAGAGAGCAGGTATTCTTGATTTAGTTATATCTGCACACAACCATCAAGGCATTGATGTTTATGGTGATTGTGTGGAAACTGAATTTAGGAGTTTTCTGTTTGGTTATTATTTTATAGCTAACCCTATTAAGGTTTTCTCCTTTGGCAGCAGCCAATAGAGCCTGCCCAGAGTGAAGAGGATGAGGATCTATCTGAATATACTGAACAGGCACAATATGGACAAGATAGATCCTTCAGTGATGTGTCTCTAGGAGATGGGTCTTCAAGGAGCACACAACCTAAGAGACTATTACACAATAGAAGCCTATCTTCCTCTACTCCACGAACCTCAGCAACATCTGTTCCACGTTCTTCAGTCAAAGGTTCCAATTCCAACTCTGGCCGCAGACGGACACAACCAGAAAATTCTCTTATGCAATCAGTTCCAAATTTCTCTGACTTAAGAAAGGAAAACACCAAACCTTCATCAGCAATCAGTAAGACAACAAACCGCTCACAGAGGAGCTATGCTCGCAGCAGGAGTGTAACTGAGGAGCTAGTCCTCAGCAAAGAGGATAAACCACGGAGGTCACAATCCATGAGAAGGAGCTCTGTGAATCCTGGTGAGTTGAAGGACCTCTCACCTCTTAATTCTGATAGTGTGGTTTTGACACCACTAAGATTAGCTAAAGAGCAAACAGAGCAGGGCCTATATAGTAAAGTTCCAAAGAATGGTGAGTCAAAGCCTTTCCTTAGGAAGGGTAATGGCATAGGTCCTGGTGCTGGGGCTGGTATTGCAAAGCTGAAAGCTTCAGTAGCATCTGATAGCTTGAAAAATGAAGATTCTGATGAAATGGCTGACCAGGCAGAGGGATCTGTGGACATGGTTAATGAGGAGGAAGAGGAAGAATTTGAAGCAGTGACAGGTGAAGAGATTATGAAGGCAATTGATTTCCCTGCCGATTCAGATAATGAAAAACCAAGACTAAGCCAAGAATCAGAAAATCCGAGTGATCCTACTTCTGACAATGGTGAGGTTCTCCAATCCCTTTCTCAAGTCCCCAATTCAGCTGAAGTGGCTACTGCTGTCCCTTCTACATTAAGCAGTTCTTTAGGACATTTACAGGATTCGCCAGAAGAAAGCCCTGCATCATGGAACTCACATATGCATCATCCATTTTCTTATACAAATGAGACATCGGATATTGATGCCTCTGTGGACTCTCCAATGGGGAGTCCTGCATCGTGGAACTCTCACTCCCTTACCCAGGTAGAGTCTGATGCAGCTCGAATGAGGAAGAAATGGGGTAGTGCTCAGAAACCAATTCTTGTGGCCAATGCCTCTCATGTTCAATCCCGAAAGGATGTCACAAAAGGCTTTAAGAGGTTATTGAAGTTTGGGAGAAAAAACCGAGGAACAGAGAGTCTGGTAGATTGGATTTCTGCAACAACTTCTGAAGGAGATGATGATACTGAAGACGGCAGGGATCTGGCAAATCGGTCATCGGAAGATCTGAGAAAGTCAAGGATGGGTTTCACACAGGGTCACTCTTCTTATGATGGCTTCAATGATGGCGAGTTGTTCAATGAACAAGGTACCCTATATATATATATATTTCCTGATTAATTTTTCTATATTGCAAGTTCTGGTCCATTGCATAATTGCTCTGATCAAGTCACTATCCATTCCCTCTCTCTCTCTCTCCATTACCAAAGGTTGTCTGCAGTTGCTTCATGTCTAACCATTGCTTCCTAAACTCTTCTTTTGAAGCTGAAATTGTTCAATTGAAGTCAATAATCCTCACCATTTCTAGATCTTTTTGTTACTTTCCCATTGTGGAACTTGGGATTTCAGTGATCTTCCACTTTGTTGGAGGGAGTAAATGTTTTTGCTTATTGTGGATTGATGGACACTTCTAGTCTACTGGAGATGAAAAATTAGATATCCAATATGCTTTTATTGTTTTATCAATTGTGTGATAGTAATAAGATTGCTATCAGAAGGCAATAAATGATGCTTATGCTGTTTAGAGTTCCAGTCATCTGGATAGCCTTGATATGGGATTAGTGGTCTTATGCTTTTTTCTATTATTAGGAGTTTATATTCTTCTGAACTTGTAAGGAAGTACTTAATATTATGTTTTAATCACCTGGATATATTTAGTTGATAACAGGGATATGTCTTGGGTCTTGCAGTTCAAGCAATACGTAGCTCAATCCCTGCACCTCCAGCAAACTTCAAGCTGAGGGAGGATCATCTGTCAGGAAGCTCTTTAAAAGGTTGCTGCTTAAAAAAGATGCTCAAATTACATGCTATTTTAAATGTAATAGCTAAAGAAACTGGCTATATCTAAATAGGAACACTAACTTCAGGATGGTGAGGGAAGAAGCCATCCCTTGCCTATGTGGGTTGCTGAAGATCTCCAACGAAAGACCTGCCTGGTTGAATGGTCTGGGAGAACCACCTATAGGACCTGCCCTCTGTGGTTTATCTGCTTTTTTCTTGTCTTCTCCTTCTATCCAGGTGTATGCAACAGTATTTTTAACTAGAAGATATTCTTAACGAGGAAATATTGGGATTCATGGTCCCAGCTTGTATCTGCTATTTGGCATGGGCTATAAGAGAACTTTCATAACATCTTTCATTATTCAATTCTGTTTCTGATGCCTAGGATTGTCGGTTCTGTGTATTATGGGGTTCTGCAAGTTAGTTGTTTGATGTTAGACGTATTTCTGAAATGGGCTGATTCATCTCGTCTCAAATTTTCAGCTCCTCGGTCATTCTTCTCACTGTCATCATTTCGAAGCAAGGGAAGTGAGTCAAAGCCCAGGTGATGACTGATACAAGAAGGCCAGAAGCAAGGGAAGTGAGACAAAGTCCAGGTGACAACTGCTACATACAAGAAGGCCAGAACCAAAATGTTTGGAACTCTTCAGTGAAAAGGTACAATGACTCGTATATAAATAGTAAGGTGGTCATTTTGATATAGAGGTAGATGTTACATTCACCCAGGCTTCTGAGGGGGGTATATATATGTCGTTATGTATTCTTACCTTTTCTTTGGACTGGTGAGGTATTCCATATCTCTATGTGATTTAATTAGTTTTTTCCCCTTTTCCCTTTTCCTTGTATTAGTGTTGAAATCTGTAGTATATGCATCCAGCCAAAAGTCACCAATTGGTGCAAAATTATCTTAATTTTTGAGAGTCCAGGCCATTTTTTTTTACCTTTTTGCTACTGTATTAGTCTTGTGAGTTTTGTATATCAGAAACTTAGAAGAACTGAAATATCTAAGTTTTGGAAGGACATTGAATGGGATTAATGCTGGATAAGATCCAAAAATGTCTGCTTCATCATTATATCCTCCATCTTCTTTTGTTTGGGCTCCGGAAATGGAGTTCTTCCGAGCGGATGAAAGTCACACAACCACACCAGTCCACAGCATCATGTTACGAAGTAGATGTATATGTGATGTTTCAATAACCGCGAGGTGGTGACTTCTGCTTCCTGATTGGAACACTATACTATAGTCTATATACAGATGTCAGACATTTTACTCGGACCAGAAAAGGTACGGTTCGGTTGTTAAAATAGCATATTTCATTGTAACTATTCAAATTTGTCAAGTTATATTGCTATTTTTTACATTGCTATTGGGGCATTCCATTTTAATAATATGGCCCAGCTTCTGTCACATGATCTAATCCTCTATTTTTTGAGACATGAAGTATATGCTCCAGAATGGAATCATAGAGATACAGGAAGACTCGAGGCTTAACATTTATGGAATGAGTTTGTTCTTCGGCTTTCAAATTACCATCCTCTAATAAATAATAGAGGATCCTTGTATTAGCAATCTGGCCTTCTTACAAGTTTGGATGGTAACTGGTAAGTAGTCTCAAGCACTGTTTTCAAAACCGGACCGGACGGTCGGACCGAAAAACCGGGAATGGTCACCTGACCGGTTCCATTTTTCTCCAAAACCGTTGATTTTGGTCAGCAAACCGCAGAACCGGCCGGTTAACCATTCGAACCGGTAACCGGACCTCTGACCAGTTCGGTCACCGGTTCGTTTTTAAAAACCATGGGCGTCCGTGCATATAAAAGAGAAGACCAGTTTTCAGAAAGAAACAAGAGAATGTTGGTACTTAATAAAGAACGACTTTTTGTAATTGTTTTATTCTTAGCCATTACAGATATGGTGGGATTCTTGAAAAGGCGTGTCAAACGAAAGATTAAATTTAGTGTGCAACTGGCCGACTGTGATACCAAAAGCAAGAAAAAAAGATGAGAAAGATCATCCTAAGAAGCAAGTGCAATTCCCATTTCCTGGTGGACTCTTGACTCTTGAGACCCTAACTGAATAAGAGTGGTGACGTGACTGGTGAGTGAATTACTAATTAACGTGCATCCTGTGGCTTGTCGTTTTGATGGGGGATGGTTTTGAACCATCATAGGTTTCTTATGCATGGTTGTGGTTATGTTCTGAATTATACAATACATTGCCAGCTTTTTTGTGTGATTGATATGTATAATAGGAAACGGGATTTGGTATTCACAAAATTGTGTTCACAACATTCTCACAGCCTTTTTCAGACGTTTATTGAGAATCTCTTTCCATGAATAAAAAGATACAAGTATAGAGATGTTGTCGATGCATGGCGGCATGGCCGAAAAGGACTGCCTCCTATAGAAGCAAATCATTTACTGTTTATCACATGAATAATGATATAGAGTATGTTAAGAATAGAATATGATCTATGAAAGTACATATGATATATTAACAAGTATATATAATTATATGTTTTTTCATGTGTATAAAAAATATATTATATTTTATAATAAAGGAATATGGCCCGAGATACACAAAATCACTTGGCCACATCAGTCTTCTTTTTGGACCATGTGGTTGTATACTTGTGCTAAAAAAATTATCTTTTTTAATGTTCAAAAAATGGGAATTTTGTTGGTCTTGGAACTATCAAACCAGTTGTGCTTGTGAACTAGATGAAACAGGAACTCAACTATGAAAAAACACCTTTACCACGGATAGCTTGTAGTTTACCTTGGGAATTTTTAAATAACCAAAAAAATCTCCTCCAGAATTTTTCACACAAATTAGCAACTTAAAGTTCTAAATCCTCAAACTAGGCGACAATGACGAAGGTTTCAAGTGCTGTCCTAAGACCATTTTTTTAAAATTATCATTGACTGTGGTCCAAACGTTATTTTGGAGATCGATCCCTTATCTAGTTTTGTTTTTACCTAGCCCAGGTTTTCCTAAAAACTGTTGATGTAGATGGTCGAACTGTTCAATTCGAGCAACGGTTCTTGGTTTAATAATAGAAAGTGAATATTATTTTTAAAACTAAAATAACAAAAAAGTAAAAAACAAGAGAAGGGTTGAGGGTTGACTGGTTGATGGTGAAAAGAGAAAGCAATTGATCGGTTGGTAGGGGGAAAGAGAGAGAGAGGGATAGGGGTCGGGGAGAGATTTGAGGTAGCCTGCGATTACTCCATTTCTTCTTTCATTCTTTGATTCTTTGTTAGCTGGTGGCCAAAGCGGTTGCATTTATTGGTTGGTTTTTAAAACCTTGGTTACTATTTAGGATGAATCATGAATGTGAATATGTGATGATGGGTATAATGGTAATCGTGACTCATGAGGATGATGATTCTAAAACAACCCTGCTGTCAATTTGGGTTGCTTAGCTTGCTCAAGTATTTGACAAAGCTGGATATTGTTAGGGGTGTCAATGGACTGGTTTTGGGTTGTACTCCGTCCAAATCAAAATCAATTTAGATGGATTGGATAGACCATTAAGATATATTGAATTTGGACGGATTGGAAGGACCAATAAGACATATTGGATCGAACCTAGTCCATCCGTAATGAATTTATATTGGGCTAAACTAATATCTGGTCCATTGATACAAGATGAGAACAATTGACCAGGTTTGAGTTAGAACCAATCTAAATTAACATGAATTTGAACAGATTAAACGGTCCAAACATTAAACTGGACCGGTCCAAAATATTCATTGGACTTGATTGGATCAGGTCCATTTGTAATGGACTTGCATTGGACTGGTTCGGATTGGACCAAATCCAGTTCAATTGACACCCCTAGATATAGTGCATGTAATATTGACTTATTTGGGAACCTTGATTAATGGAGGGTCTTTGACTCTTGGTATTCCCTCCTTTTTGGGAGTTGATGGACAAAATTGCACTATGGGAGTTGGGATCTCCTGCCAATAAATCACATTCCAACACCCTTCCAACATGATCTGACACTGCACATCTCACCAGATCATGTTGGAAGGGAGTTGGAACGTGATTTGTTGGCAAGATATCTAGACAGGCGCTATGGAATCTCAGACCGACAAGCAATAGATGGAGGATGTTTACAAGGTGTTCACTTTTATTTTGTATCACTTTCTTGGTTCTGAACTTTGAAGAATGAAGAACTATAGTGCCAAAAATTCTTGGCTTTCTAGATTCGATTCCCATCTGTCTAGTTCGAAATTCGAATAGGGGTGAGCATGGGTCAGTTTGGTTCAGTTCCATGGTAGAATCTGGAATCTGCCCTATATAGGGGTCAGTTACAGGTTTTTGGAACCAGAACCTAATCTGTGAAGGTTGGTTCCAGGATCGGTTTTGGCCTTGGTGGTTCCATGGTTTACTTGTGGAACCTATTCTTTGTTTACTCTCCTTGAAATAAAACATGTTCTTTAAAAATTTGATTTTCAATAAATATGATATATATAGTTTAAAACTTATATTATCTTTATTGATTAAATTAAGTTAGTTCAAAACTTATAATTTAAATTTAAATTTTGCAAATATTACCTTTTACACTACTTATAATACATGTTCGAATATTAATATGAAAACAAATGATAAAATCACTTACGATGTGTTTGGTTTGAAGGAAAAAGTAAGGAAACGAAGGGAGAGGTAAGGAAGTCTTCACAAACCTTGTATATGTTTTTTCTACTTTTTCCTTCCTTTCCCTACCTTTTCCTTCAAACCAAACATGGCATTAAAGTAACTCAATGGCCAAGTGATAAAATTACTTGATAACATTTGCTCACCCTTAAGTTTGAAAATCTCTCTCTCTCCTTTCTTCTATTCAACAAATAGAGCATCAAAATTGCCAAGTGTAGTTTAATGTTGTTGGTAACTAAACGTGATTAGTGTAAATTGTGTAATTGTGTAAAATGCATGGGTCTTATGATCTGGTCCTCATTTACACTCAGCTAAATTGGAGCGAAACTGGATCTACTCCTCACACAGGGCGACTCACTTGCGCTTCACATGCACATTGTACCATGCATTGGGAACATCTCCCGTTATTAATGGAAGATGTTCCCAATGCATGGTGGATGTGCATGTGAGGCGCCCCCGTGTGAGGAGCAGATCCCGTTGCAATTGGAGCCTCGTTGATTTCCACCGTGCACTTATCAGTTTACACCTCAAACAAATACAGCAGAATGAAAAAAAAAAAAGTTGTCTACGGTACTAAGGGGATGCTTATGATTTTAAACGCTGCCAACAAGTATATACATCTACATGTAGACTTACCCAAACAGGCAAGAAAAAAATGCATTAGCTTCAATTTTACTAATAAGAACGAAGTACACCTGTTTAATTTTAATCCACAATCCCTGTCATTCAGCCAGATTTCTTGATCTGTTTCACCTATAAATCACTCGTAGAAAATGTTTGACTTGGTCCACAACATAATAATATAACTAGTTAATTAAATTGTTTGATCAGTGGGTCATGAATTTTTTTTTGTGTATTTTAGCCACTTATATCTTATTTCTTATATTTATTTTAGATTAATATGATGAATATATAATATAATGGATGTATCCACTTTTTGCATATTTTCTGTAATTTTTATAAATTCTATGATACCATGGGTTAAGTTTAACACAGTTTTTTGATTAATATGCTAATTATAGGTTCTTTTAATGCATAATCGGTGATTTAATATTATAGTGAAAATAAAATTGTTTGCAGCCTTATTAATAGCCAAATTCTTTCATTCACTCTTTTTTTTCTTCTTCTTCTATTAAATTTTTTATTATCATTTTGGTTAAAAGAGGCATTGAGAGAGAGAGAGAGAGAGGTTGCATCGATGTCAACAACAGTTTAATTTCCTACCCTTGATTCTCTTGTAGTGTGTTGTGTGTATTATTTTATTTAATACTAAAAGGAAAAAAAAAAATAACGGTAACTCTAACGAGCACAGCGTGTATTGTTGCGAAGAAGTGTTTTTGTTCCCCATCTCACCCATCTGGCTGAAGGTGGGACTGGACTCAACCCCATGTTTCTCCTACAATCAGTTAGAGAAATTGCTAGCAGGCTAAGTACTACCTTCGCTAGGAAGTCATTAGGAGTTGAAATAAAAGAGGTATCATACGAGTTCAATTACGAACCGTTTGGGAGGGCTTCAGCCTTCAGCTTTGATCGAGTCGTGTTGATGGGACCACTTTGAAGAGCTACTAAAACTAGTTTCATTGAAAAGCCGGATTTGGTACATTTCCGGATTTTAATTCAGATTTGATATCTGAATTAAGTAAAGTGCACCCCAAAATTGAAGCTATTCATGTACATGCTTTTGACTAATAAGCTCCCCTCTAAAATTAATCTTTGTAATAAGGGATTCAATATTGATAGAACCTTAGGAATTTGTGAAGATGAGGAAGATGTTGATCATATCTTCAAGGATTGCTCCTATGCAAAGCAGGTTTGGAATATCATTGATCATAATTTGGTGTTTTTAAAGTCAGAGGACAATGCAATTTGGGGTTGGTGGTGCAGCCTCAGAAACTGCAAATTGATTTCTACATCTTAACCACTCCCCACTTTGGGCAAAGATAGAAATCGCTTTGGTGAGGTATTGGACTTAAAGGTTTATATTCTGGGCTAAGTTCTATTAATCTTGCTGAAGCATGTGCTTCCTGAGAGGTCCACAACCTTGCTCTCGAATTTCGATGCCATCCTATCATCTTTGAAGGAGACTCAAAACTAGTAGTAGTCATTGACTACGTGAGGAAGCTTGTGCTGCTGCCGTGGAGATGAAAGAACATAATTGAGGATTGCCATCGCATCGGAGACTTGTTGGATTGCGGGATCTACTATCGTCATGTCTTTTGCGAGGCTAATCAAACTGCTGATTTTTTAACATACATTTCTATCGAGGAAATTGGTTCTTCTTCTTTAGATTTTCCTAGGGGTTTCTTTTTTATTTGTTTGTTTGATTCTTGGGCTGCATTTGGAAACAATACAAATGAAGTGTAAATCCTGGTTTAGGGTAAATTTGCACTCTGGTTCACTTTTGTATGTGTTCGATAACATTGCATTTATGCATTGACAAATGACGGATTAATGCATATTTACATTGATAATAAGATATAAAAGTACATCAATAAAAAAAAATGTAAATTTGCATTCAAGTGGGCTTTTGATAAAGAAAAAAGCATATGCTTTTATAGGAATTGATGTTTGCATCAATTACAACTAAAAGTATGTTTGGTAAGAAAGTAAATTTGTCAATGCAAAACTAACCCAACTTTGCAATTTATATGAACTGTTTTACATATTCACACTAATTTGCATCATTTCCAAATGCAACCTTGGTGTCGTGCTTTGTGCAGCAATCTTTGGTTTTATCAAAAAAAAAAAAAAACATAACTTCTACGCTTTTTGTATAGGGCCGATCTTGCAAATCTAGAAACTGAAAGCCCTCCCAAAAAGAAAGCTGGTGTCGTAGGAGTGTCATTTCTAATTCGAGATTTAATATAATTGAATTGAATTCAGATAATTCAAATATCTAATTGGTCAAATTCGATCGATTATTTAATTCTTATATATAACATATACAATTTTTAAATGTTTTATAATATATATATATATATATATATATAATTAAATTATAAAAATAATTTTTATATTTATATACTTTATATAAATAAAGTATTTATTTTATATATTTATTAATTACTTAAAATAATTAATTAGTTGAATTCAAATCAAATCGAATATTCAAATATTTAATTGAATTCAAATCAAATCAAATCAAATATTCGAATATTTAATCAAATTCAAATTTAAATATTAATTTTCAATATCCATCAAATATCGAATAGAATTCAAATATCAATTTTTTTTAATTGGGTTCTAATTCAAATATTGTCTGATCTGATTCAAAAATTCGATCCATGACCGAGAACCCACATGGGATATTGTGGTCACAAATACCTGTGAAAAGTGTGCATTTCTTATGGTTATTGACTCGAATACCCGCGGTTGATTTCTCTTTTCTTCTATGATATAAACGTGGATTAAATAAGACGGGTGAGTGTGCAGGTGCATACTTGTCATCAACAGAACGTAGAAATTGCATGAAACGAGGATGATGGAACTAGGGCTGTCACTTGTCAGTGTCAATTAATGGATTTAGATGCTAAAACCTTCATGCGTGTAGTAATTGGATTGAATTTAACCCCATTGGATTCAATAAGAATTAACAAATCATCCGATCCGAGTCGGGTAATTTGGATTTCGGATTTGGAGGTAAACGATCAGATCGAATTTGGATGTAACTAGATCCTATCATAATACGACCCGACTGTAATCCTAGACGGAGGCGGAACCATTATTGCCTATTGGTTTGGGCATTCTGTATTTGTATGTCCAATTCTCTACAAGCAAAAAATTTGGTAGCGAGGCGGGGCGTGACTTAGCAGTTGCCGTTAATACGGCCCACTTGGAGGCTTCCCATGGCCACCTGGAAAACGGTGGCAGAGGAAAGACGAATCAATCAACTTCAATTCAATTTTCAGAACCAAAACCAAAATCAGAACCAGAGTCAGAGCCAGAGCCAGAGCCAGGCTGCAATAATCCGACCCCGACCCAACTGTTGGCACACCTATGAGTATGACCTAACCCAAGGGGAAGGGGTTAACACTTTTAAAAAGAGTGCTCATGTTAGGTTATGGAATATGGAGTTGTCAAGATCTACTAAAACAAACGAGGCTCATGTCATGGGGCTCATTTCCTCTTGCTTTTTCTGATTAATTATTATCTTTTATTTATTTGCTCAGATAAATAAATAAAGAAATTTGGACACCAAACCAAAACCACACAAGAAGACTAGAGAGATAACTCTTTCCTAGGGAGTTATATAGTCCCACGGTAGAGTGAGTGTTGACTAATTGTAATTGTAGTAGGATACGTCTCTAAAATGTAAAGGAAGAGCGTCTTTCTATCTACTCTCTATGCTTTTTGTTTCATTAATTGCAAGTTGCTACCCCACGAGTATCCAAAAGTAAGGAAGAGCCTAAAAAGGGTTTTGTCTCCTTTGAATTTCGAATCCAGTGTATGTCTTTTCTCTCTCTCTCTCTCTCATGTTCATTCATCCTTGCATGCACGTCCAGAAACAAGTTTCTGAACCCTTGAGCCAAAGTGACAAACACTATTGCATTTATCTGCAATCAATCTTCTTTTCATCGTCCTCTTCTTCTTCTTCTTCCTTTTTTGTTTGTTAATTATGACTGTTAATGAAAATGCAATGGTCCAGTGCTGCCCCCACTTATATTGGAAAGTGACCTCACCACAACTTCGAGAGATTATAAAAGAGAAGAGGAGATCAGATATATTCAGAGATCGATGCATGATGGGTGGGGTGGTCTCTCTCAGTCTCTCTCTTTCTGTGTATACCAAATCTGATCTGAGGAGTGAGGAGGAACGAATGAAGACTCTCCCCTCCTCCCCCAAAACCCAATAAATGAGAGTAGTAAATTTGGATGTATCGTCGCGTCCGGTATCGGTATGTGAATGGAGGAAGGGAGGAGTGGAAGATCAAGAATAGAGTGGAATCAATTTTAAACAGTTAATAACTCTAAATTCAAACCATTTTTTCGTACACAAATATTAATTCTCTTAATTGCCCTTGCAGCCTTTACTTGGCCTTGTAGCCAGGTAAGGGACGCGTGCCTTCTCCTGGTCCCTTCTCTTCCATCCCACGTGGGGTCCTCCTTCTGATTGGAGCTACGTGTACGTGACACTCAGCACTACCAGCTTTCTTCCCCACCCACCCAAAAATTAGCCGTTTGATTCTGACCCATCACATCAACTCCGTCAGTCATTACTGGTGGTCCCATTATTTTGTCTTTAAATATTACCCATATGAATATTAACTGTTCTAGGTGTGGAGTGTGGACCCATTTGGGCCTTTTAGCTTCCAACAACATCAACCAACCCACCCTATGCTCGTTTATGTCTTAAATTAATCACTTTTTACATAAAGATCCTGTGTTGATCAAAACTCATAAGAATACAAACTGCCTTGGAAAATTGCAAATTTGTTAAAACTCTGTACGGAAATGGAATGGAGTCCCATCTGACCCATCCCCCACAAACTGGAATTAGGATTAAGAAGAGTTTGAATGTATCTTCAAAAAAAAAAAGAAAAAACAAATACATAATTAGGGAGAGAGATAGAGACGTTAAAATAAACAAAACAATAATACCATTCATTCAATAGCTTCATGAAAAGGACCCAATGGTAAGGTGATAACATCCTGCCAGATTTATGACGCCCCACTTGCTTTTCAGCAATTTAGAAAGCAAGCATGCAATTATATAAAAAAAAATGTAAAAAACAAGTATTTCTGTATTAAAAATGAGAGAGAGAGAGAAGGAAATAGGGAACAGTCTCCCTCAGAAACCACCAGGTCTGCAAGCCCACAGTGACTGAAAGATACCACTCAGATCTATTTCTTCATTTTAATATAGCCTTTTTCTTCCCACTCAAATTGGGGACTCTATCCGTAAAATCAGATAAAAGGTTAACAGATTTTTCTCACCACTACCAGCAGTATGAATGGAATCCAGGCTCCAGAGAGAGTTGTGTGTTTGAGCTTGTATAAGGGTTTCGTGGGCTAATGTCATTCGTTGAAGTCAATCTTTATCTCAAGCCTCTGCTCTTGAAGCGATTGGCGGAACCAGGGTTTTCTTTTTTTTCTTTTTCAGAAAGAAGCCATGCATCCTTGCTTGATATTATCCACACAGGTCTGTTTTCCTTTTTCTTCTCATGTTGACATATAACATATATTTATATATAAATATAAAAATAATAACCTTCAGACTATACTATTCTATTCTACTTACTCATCAGATGTTGAGATGTAACTGGGTAGCCAACCGTGAAAAGATTAGTGCAAATTGGTCAACCATTTTGATTCAAGAATCAAGATACTGGTATTACACATTACAAACATTAGTCTTTTAACCGACATCTCATTTACAAGATTTTGACATCATTTTGGGCTATTTTTTTTTTGTAGTCTCCTTTAATTTAGAGGATATATCGATTCATTTAATTTTTTTTCCCTACTTGGTTCATGGGATTTTGCTTTTCGCTACAAAGCTTCCTTCTGGTAAAAGAAATCTTTGGATGCTATATTTTTTCTTATATCTTGTGTATGGAATAAGGATGTATTATAGATCAAGATGTAATTGTTTGATTTCATCCATTATTTGTCCATTAGCTTCAGAGACGTCACTGTTCATGCAAGGACAGAATGTCCATTATCCTTCTTATTTCTTATTGTTCTGTTTTTATCTAGTTATAACGGAGAAATATTTGATTTTGTATACCATTCTCTCTTGTAAGTCTCAGAAGCTTTCATGTACGCGATTTGTGTAGAACAACACTCTGGTTTCTACTTTCTACCTTCAACATGGGCTCCTATATATTAATGGCTTTCCAATGGCCGAATGTAGTTCAAGTAGCAGGGTAATGTCCTAGAATTAATGACTTTTCAGATAATTAAACAATAGACTATTGAATCATGCATTATATTGTTGTGGGTATACGAAACAAAAGATTTCTTTCCTAATCTCAAACTTGTAGAAGATAAAACATACATTTGTTATAAATTTATAAGTCAAAATGTCATTCTAATTATTTTATTCTGCAAAAAAAAAAGAAAAAAAGAAGAAGAACATTAAAATGGAACAATTAGAAAAACTCCAATTGTTTCTACTGTAAATAATCTATAAAATCCCATGTTAAGATAAGATATTAGTAATTACTAATTAGGATCAACCTTCCAATCCGATAAATTGTATGGGGGTAGTGTTTGGGAAATGAAAAATTCAGAACTTCTTCTCATTCCTCCTACGTTGAAAGTTGAAAGTTGAAACAAATGTATCTTAAACCTAAAAAAGAGACGAAAATGGTGAAATGATGCATATCCTCCCCAACTGTACAACACTTGAAAGTGTGAATTAAAAGTGACAGACGTGCAATCTGTTTTACATGAATATGTAGTGGAGTAGTTCTTTCCTGAAAAGTTTATTTTGTGAAGAAGTATATGTATTTATTTATTTATTTATATTTAAAGCAGCAATGAATTCCCATCTCCCGGCTTTACTTCTACTGTTATTGCTGCATGGGCTCTGCTAAAAGATACAGAAACCATGCCTCTGCCACCACCAATTAGAATTCGAATAGAAAAGAAGGAGAGGTAAAAACATAAAAAAACATGGTAAAAGAAACTGGGGAAAAGAAGGGAGAAGAAAAAAAAAAAAAACAAATCCTTTTAAAATAGGAGAGATGTATGATTATAGATTATTATTTCTTTTCTGTCCTTAAACATATTGTGTGGATTATGGAGGTCCAAAATTCCTTGTTTCACAAATAGACCTTAATCATTTTCTGCAATTTTGTTGTATTTCAACTTTGGAAATTACACACACACACAAAAAAAAAATGTTAAATAACAAATGTGAAGGAAAAAAACAAAGCAGGAAGGAACTAAAAGGAAGAATAGTTTGCAACAGCAATGGGGATTCTTCTTCTTTCTTCTTTTTTGCTGACATTTATGAGGAAGTCTGGTCCCATGCATACAGTTTTCTCATATAATGTAGTGGAACTGTAGGAGTCAGGAGTGGACATGCCAGTCCGGTTCTTTAGAGAAGAGGACTGTGACTAATTGGTAATGGGCCCACAATTTCCTCTGACTAATTACTTCTATTCATGAAGTAAATTTGAGCCCCAAAACTTTTTTTATTTTATTTTTTTAATTTTTGCTGCACAGACCACAGAGAGCAATGCATAATAAAATAATCTTTCAAGAGTCTAGAGTCTGGACAAGTTTAATATTAAAATATTAAAACCTTCAATAGGCAATATTGTTTGCAGAAAACAACTATAGTAAATGGTGGGGTAGAGGGAAGTTGTGCATTGGAGGATTGAGAAGGTGGTCAATCCATGAGGTCCCGCCTACTTGGTACATAGATCCCATTGGCCACGTCATCCCCTCCACATGGCAGATTGGCAGATGATATTGTAGGTTGTTTAGGAAAACCCACTGATCCCAACTTGATGTAAATGTAATTGAATCAAGGCCTTTAATGACCAGAACTAAACCCCCATAATTTATTGCATCTAATACCACATAATTGGAATATCGTGTGTACAACCTAGCTGGCTGTAGCCTGTAGCCTGTAGCCTGTAGGGCAGCCCTTTTGAAGATTGAAATGCTTATAGATGCATCTTCATCGAAGACATGTCAACACGAGCAATCATCTGAACTCACTCACAATATTCTAGATATGTGGTGTATGGTGCATGCGGTTTTATATTAACAAAGGAGCGAGTAGTACAGATAAAAAAACAAACCCACCCATTCTGTAGGCTGTAGCAACGTAGAGAGGTGATGGGCCGGGGAATGAGTATAACAGTTGCGCAGGGATCCTTATCAGAACAAGGTTTCTTGTTGGCATTGGAATGGGCGTTCTAGTCAATTCAATTGTAAATTTGTAACCATTTCTAGAAGAACAAAAATAGCCAATGTTTATCAGTTGTGAGTTATCTCACTTATCTGGGGTAAAGGGCAACCTGGTCTGGTGGTGGTGGTATAAGAAAAGTATTAGTGAAGATTGCAATGCCAATCTTTCTCTTTGTATGTCAGATGGGTTTTGCAGGGCTATCATGTCAACATCTTAATTCGGATTGGATAACATCCAAATTCAATCCGCTCCGGCCGACCCTAGTCTCCTGTTTGTAGTATTGGTTTTCCTTGTAGATTTCAATAAAACAAACTTATATGAATGGCTGGCTTTTCTTTCAGTTCCATGATCCATCCATATCCGGATAATGGAGTCGGGTATTGATTGGAACCGTATCATGCTGCTTGGCTTGGAACTTGGATGAAGAAATAGAGGGATTCATTCTCAGCAGCTGGTCTGGTCATTAGTCATTACTCATTTGTAATTAACTAGATTCTCAGAAATGGAATTAAGGGGATCTTCTGATAGGTTGTTTATCAGAAACAGAAAAAGAAAAGGTCATCCTGTCAACCACCCATTTAAGGCCAACATTTAAGCCTCAAATAACAATCTAAACTTTTCCAAAAACGGAAAAGAAAATCTCATTCAATTTTTGTTGTTGTTTTTGTTTTTATTTTAAAATAAAGAAGACTGAGAATCGATGTCTCCAGCTATTTAGTATTTATAATACCCGTGAGACCCCCCACCCTCTCTAGCATCCTTTGCCGTGTTGTACTTTGCCTCCAGTCTTCAGAGAAGGGAAATCAAACCATGATTCTCCCAACCGACCTCTCTACATTCCATCCCGTTTTCACTTGATACCACTTACCAGAGACAAAAGTGTGGGGTGAGTGGGTGAGAGAGCAAAAGTAAAAACAGAACAACAGAAAAGCAGCAGGCAGAGAGATATGAGGAGTCGATCTACGAAGCAAGGGAGCAAAGGAGGAATGGAAATAGAAAGAATTCGAAAGCTGAAAGAAGAGCCTCAGCTGTCTGGTGCTTACATCCGTAGTCTTGTCAAACAGTTAACCTCTTCAAAAACCAAAGACCCTACTGGTATTAACCCTACAGCCCCCGACATTGTGGATGGAGATGGGTTCCCCAAAAACCTCCCAAAATTTAATAATGAAGGCCCCAGTAAAACTCCACAAGTCCATCAACCCCAACTGTCCCTACAGCCCAGAAAACAAGTTAGGAGGAGACTCCATACCAGTAGGCCTTATCAGGAGAGGCTGCTGAATATGGCTGAGGCTAGGAGAGAGATTGTGACCGCACTTAAGTTTCATAGAGCGGCAATGAAACAGGCCAACGAACAGCAACAGCAGCAGCAGCAGCGGCAACAATCACTATCAAATAATCAGCAACAACAACCATCACAAACACTCCACCCTCCACCTCAACCATGTTTGCTACAACAAGAGAAGACGAAATCCAGGAGAAACCCTAGAATCTACCCGTCAGACCTCACCAAATTCTCTACTTATGTAGACAACCTCTCCAATTCATCTGTCTCATGTCCTAGTAATTTCTCATGGGGCTCTCCCCCTATTGCACCATTTCCAACCACTGAAACTCTGAATCTCACCTTCCCCAGGCAACCCCTTGGCCTCAATCTCAACTTCCATGATTTCAATTACTTGGATGCCACTCTCTACAATAATAGTAGCACCGATAGCAACAACAACAATTTCAACAATCCATCACTCTATTCATCATTATCTTCTTCTTCTTCTTTGGAAGTACCTTTGGCTGCAATATCGCCGGATACACTTCCAATTACTGCCAACGTTACTGATTCGGGCATCAAGACGGGAGGCCTACATCCTGCTATGGATGACGAGGAAATGGCGGAAATCAGATCGATTGGGGAGCAGCATCAGATGGAGTGGAATGACAGGTTGAACTTAGTAACATCAGCGTGGTGGTTTAAGTTCTTGAAGACAATGGAGATCGATCCGGAGAGGAAAGCAGAGAGAGAAGATGAGGGGTTTCATTTATTGGATGAGGTGATGGAATTCCCATCTTGGTTGAACGCAAATGAGAACTGTAACTTACAACAGCAATTGGAGGATTACCGTCCAGGTCCAGGGGACTATGTACAAGAAGATCCTGCGTTGCCATGGTAAGTTATTCCTGAAGAATTTCTCAACTTTTAATTGTCTGTGTTAATTACATTTCCTTGTTTGGTGAGAAGTCATATTAAGAGATTACGATACGCATTAGTAAGCAAAAATTCGTTCTATCATTCTATTGGAAATCCTGGTCTGGTCCTCCACTGTATGTCTGTATCCACATGCATTCGAGTTGAGCGTGTGCGTGGCCCAATAAAAATTCTCAAGCTACACAATTGCAGCTTGCAGCAGCGGGATTGTTCATTAAAAGAGCGAACGAATTATTGAGTATTGAGTACTGATTATTGAATGAGGATGAGGCGCGTCAATTTCTGGTTGTGGTCGGTCGGTAACTACTTCTAAGGCTATGTTTGGGAGTTTGTAAGTGTTTAACGAAGCCAAAAACACCCAAATAAGTGGAAATGGGCGTTTGGGTTAAAAAACAAAGCCCAATAAGTGCTTCTTCACCAAAATAAGACCGTTTTGAAGAAACAAAAATTTTGGGCTTTTTTAAAAGAAGCATTTATTTGTTTTGTTGCCTGTCCTTTTATTCTTAAAATACTTATGCTATCCTGTTTTTAAAATAAGTGTTTTTTTCACCAAACACTCATAAACTGCATATTTAATAAATATTTATTTGAAAAGCCCATTTAAAAATAAGAAGCACTTCCATACACTACCTATATTACAAAGCATAGACCTCACGATTTTAACTTAAGAATGGGCCCTGGCCCAAGAGGAAGCAAAATCGAAGTGATGGGCGGGTAGGGTAGACACCGTAGAGGCTTAAGAGAGGAACATGAACATCATCGTAGCGTGTCTTGGATGCTTACTTTGGTTGCATGATTGATACGGGTTTTGGAGACTCAATAATCTCTCTCTCTCTCTCTCTAACATTGAATTTTGTTTTTCTCTGCAGCATGGATATTGGAGAAATTGATGGAATGGATGGCGAGTGGATTGTCTGATAAGTGACACTTTCTTTTTTTTAATCTTTTAACTTTGGTGTTTTGCTCCTAAGAAGGCTCTGCTAAGATGTCAAAGCCGCAAGGAAGGAGAAAATAAATGCAAATAATGTAGAGAAGAAAGGAAGGAAAAAGAAAAAGAAAAGGAGAATCGAAAAGAAGGATATTACCTTTCCTTGGAATGTTTAAACGGAATGTATTTCTCAAGTTTTCTTTCTGTTTTTCCTTCATGTTATTGTAACAAATAAAAATACATAATAATAATAGACTTTAGGGTGAGAATGAAAACAGCCCTTTGGGCCTTTTTGCTGGAGATTGCAATGCTGCCATCGGCGATTTTTTTTTTAATATCTTTTGAAAGACTATATGGGAGGTAGCTCATCCCCCAACCCAGGTGGATTTGATCCTTAATCTCCACTATAACCAACACAGGAGATCTTACCAACCAGCTGGCTGGCACCTTACTATGACATGCGATTCTGGTTCTGGTTGTGGATGAAAGCCCTAATCTCGTAGAGGAGATTGGAGAGCATGCTAGATCCTAGAAAAAGTAAAAGGCTTAACGGTGGTTATTTAAGAAGTTAAAATCGTTATGTTTGAGCTTGTCCTGGCATTTGGGCCTACAAGGCTATAACTACAATTAGTGCTGTCATTGAAGAATGGAATCCATTAATGGTGGTTAAGAAAGGAAATACCAAAGGAGTTTATTTTTGAATTCTTGGTGTGGCCTCATTTTTTTCCTCTGATGCACCAGAAACAGGTGAAGTTGGAAACGACCACCAATTTATTTCCTTCCAGTTCCGATTATGCTCTTAGGACTGAAGAGTGGACCGGCTTTGCTTGATTAATTACTGGAAGAAGATTTTTCTTTTAATAAGAGATAGAGGTTACAGTTCTTGGGAGTGGTGACAACTCTTTTATTTTTTTGCAAAAATATAAATATTACAAGGAAAAAAAAACCTATGATGCTGGAAAGGTAGGATACCCTCATGAATTTTGATGAAAATCCTCTTGATTGGTTGCCACTGTTATGATGCTGGTTGATTGGTTATAAGTTTTTCCCGTATTATATCTTTGTAACATCATAGTTGAATCCACGTGTTTTATTACGAAGTAAAAAGTATAATGGTAAGTGAAACCTCAACCTCTCACTTCATGGGAGCTGAGGTTATAAAGTGGGAAGCATGCCAATGGGAGTGTATTATTCATAGTTAATTTTATATTTTTTGCTATTAGAAATGAAAAGACAGAATATGAAATATATTAAATATAAAAAGAAAATTTTAAGAAATAGAATATAAATTGAATAATAACAATAAATAAATGGGTTTAATTATGATGCTCAAAAGACATGATACCAAAAAACTTATAACCAATCAACCAACATCATAAAAGTGGTAACTATTCAGGTGGTGTTTTATCAAAATTCATGGGGTTTTGATTGGTCAAAGCCTGTCTACTGTCATATCTTTTAGGCATCATAGATTTTTATTAAATATGTATAGATCTATATTCAATAACTTAGAAACTATAAAATAATAAAAATTAGGAAAATGATAAAATAAAAGGGGTGATTAGGGTACATCCCTAGTGAAAAACAAGGTTCTAAATATCAACACGGGCCGATACATCAGTAGGGCATATTGGCCTGTATCGGTGCTTTTTTTTAATGTTTTACTTATTTTTTTTCTGGAATCGGTTTAGAGGAGTCAGTTTAAGGCTTGACTACTCTCTGAACCAGTGGCTGACCCAATACGACCCCTATAGGGTATCAGGAAGCCACCAACACGATACATATTGGTGAAAAGACACAAGGGAGCTTTTTTGGCATTTTCTTTCAAAGCATGTAGTCTTTGAGTATTAGGCTGCGTTTGGAAATGATGCAAATAAGTGTGAATGCAAATATGTAGAGTGTAAAACGGTCCATATAAATTGCAAAGTTGGGTTAATTTTGCACTGACAAATTTACCTTCTTACGAAACAGACTTTTAGTTGTAATGGATGCTAAAGCATATGCTTTATTTTTTTATCAAAAGCCCATTTGAATGCAAATTTAGTTCTTTTTTATTGATGTACTTTTATTATCAATATAAATATGCATTGAAAAATGTGTTTTCTGTCATTTGTCAATGCATAAATGTAATGTTGCTAAACACAGGCAAAAGTTAACCAGAGTGGAAATTTACCCTGAACCGGAATTTACACTCTATTTGCATTGTTTCCAAACACAGCCTTAGTGATTAGGGATTAGGAGTTTAACCTTGATGTGCTCAAATCACTCCCAAAGATTTTTTTTTTAACTTGTAGAAATGCATTTTCCTAATTTATTAAATAATTAAATTCAACACCATAATTATTCAAACGCCATTAATTGCTTTATGTTACTTAATTTGCAATAGTAAACTCCATTTAACTAAGTACTCCTAGGAAAGGCAACGGGGCAGGGTGGTCTCTCCCCATCCCCGTCCCCGTCCCCGTCCCCGCTAACGGGGACAAGGTTATCCCCATCCCCATCCCCACGGGGATCCCCATTCCCTGTGATTTTTTATAATGTTAACCATTTTTGTTTTTGTTTTTTTTTTTATTTTATTTAAAAAGAATAAAAATAAAATAATTAAAATTTACAATCATTGGAAAAGATTCAAACATATTCAACCATATTTTTAAAAATATTAATATATAGATGCATATGTACATATATACATATATAACGTATGCATACATATATATATATTAGTGGGGATCACATGGGGCGAGGATCGGGGTCCCCGCGGGCGGGGAGTGCTCTCCTTGTCCCAGCTCCGTCCTCGCTAACGGGGATAAAAATTTCCCCATCCCTATCCCCGTGGGAGGAAAATCATCCCCGTCCCCATCCCCACCCCATTCAGGGCGGATCCCCATGGGGATGGGGAAATGGGGAAATTGACATCCCTAAGTACTCCAATATAGATTAACCTACAAATATTAATCTTAGCACACTAAAATGATGCATTATTTTGGTGTTTTAACATTTAAAAGATCAAGCATTTTTGGGGGAGAGAGTTTGTTATTGAGGTGAAATAAACAAAGGAATAAAATCAAATAAAGTTTTAAGAAAAATAGCGGCAAGAATATAATGTTTTTATAAAAAAAAAATTAATGGATTCAACTGCAACATGGTAAGAAATTTCGGTTGCTTCAGTTCCAACATATTATAATTACAAACAGGGTGGTGTCGATCTATTTCCTCAGAAAAGAAGTCCATAGAATTATCAGTGTTTCATTAATGATTTTGATACAACCCAATAATTATGAAAGCATCTTGATAATGAAATATATTAAAAATATATCAAAGAATTTGGATGGAGCAAATTAATAGCTAGGATTTGGGATGCATTCGCCAATTAAACAATATAAGAACAAGTTCTATGAAAAGATTAATTAGAGATTTGAGCCAATTCTCGTTTCTGATAATAACCTAGTTAATTCAAATAACAAGGGTCAAGTTATAAAAGTTTCATAAGAATCCTATAAAGCATGATGCATTCTAATTGGAATAACACATAATTGGAGAAAATCTAAAAAACTGTAAAGTTGAGACATAATTGCTTAGAAATTTGAAGAAAGGGAAGTACAATTGATACATGTGGGGTCCTGAAATGATATATACCATCTAAAAAAACCACAAAGTGAGATATAATAACGAGAGATTGGCATTGTCAAAAGAGAATCAATCCTTACAACTTCAAACGTCATGTTGATAAATTAAAGGTTGAGAGAACAACCTGTGTTTTTCAGATTCTTGAGATAAAGACTCAAAGATTTTGTTTGTTTTTATTTTTATTTTTTTTATGTTGCAAAAATTGCAATTGGTCGAAAAGCCTTTAGGACTGGAGGACCATTTGTCTGGGGAATATAGAAGATATTGGATTACACAACAGAAGTTTTATAGAAGAAGTAGGCTTCCTGTTTGAATCAGGTATACTGGCTGTAGCAACTTGTGTAGATCTAAAGAGCATGAGGAATATTCAATATTGTTCAGTCGTCTTTGACCAGATTCCATTTTGGTAGGTGATTTGTAATCCATCCTCCTCCTATCCACATCAGCCCCTGAATTTCACATTTTTTCATCAGTAGATTTGTCCTTTGATTTTTTTTCTTCAATATTTTAATATATATTAAATTTTCTAAAAAAATATTTTTGACAGCATGGCGAGGGGTTTTGGGCTGTGAAGTTTATTCCACCAATAGAGGATGTTGAAACGAACCTATGGGCCCATTTTGAGCCCAAACTACCTTCCCACATGGAAGAATGAATTCCAATTTCGCTTGGTAAGTCCATTCCAGTTTTTCTAATTGCGAAACACTCATTTGCAGAGACATTGTTTAATTAGACAAAAAGAAAAAAAAAAAAAAAGGGGACATGATTTGTTTCCTGGTGGGAGCCTCTTATTAAAATTCAATGCTTGTTTCCTTGAACGTATATTTAATTAACTCCTCGAGAATGCACCAAAGTTTCTCTTTTGCCACTTGACCAAGAAAGGAATAAGTCAGCTGTCAGCTTATGCCCGGAAAATTAATGGGCCGATCAGGTCAAAGGGGTTAACAACCCCACTTGCATTTGACTTAGCAGGGAATTTCAATCACGTAAGGTGCGATTCTGCTTTCTGCTGTGGTTGTCGATCGGGATGGCAATTGAATACAATAACAAGAATTCTAAGTTCTTACAGTGGAAAAAGATATATATATATATATATAAATGTCAGTCAATATCGGGAGACAAAAAAAACAGCCTTCTTATTGCAAAAGCATTTTGGACATATATGGAGAATTATTACAAGCCTTGAGAGTTAAGGCCAGAGACATTAATTACTGTTAAAATAATCCCACTTAATTAATTTCTTACCCTTGTTGAAATTAAGTGACATTCTCACATGCATTTAAACTTTAAATAGTATTATTTTATAGGACCCCAAAACAGGACATTTTCTTACTAGCTACTGCGTGCATTATATTTTGTCTTGAATTTTCTACGACAAGCAAGCGATCCAGCAACGTACTCCTGCTATCCTCCTAGGAATTAATAATGTATGTTGGTTGATATCTTGATCATTTATCTTTGTCGTAGTCTTGGCTATTGTAAGGACTGAAGGCTTCCAAGAACCAGTTGTTCTTCCTCCATGACCTCCATCCCATCTCTTGGCATATCTCATCACTGTGGTTGATGCTGTACGTCGAAATACAGTGTCTTTTATAGAACCTAGTTGTCCTCTTCATCACTTGTATTTCCTTCCTTATTTGCTCCAGCATCTGTTCCACGCTGGGGAGCTTGAATTGATCATCCGCGAGGCGAGCCAACCATTTGCACCGTAACTCCGCAGTGTGCAGATTTGAAACGCTCTCAATGTACCCAACAAATGCCATGTGAGGAATCAAAGGATGGATTGTACCCCTGTGTCGATCGACATCAAACACATTTGCATTATTAGCTGGCTAGCTATCATATATCGATATCTAACCTTGAAGAATGAATGTACGTACGTACGTACGTACTACTAGGTAGTGTGCACTGTGCAGGGAGGGAGCTAGAGCCAGAGTTGGGTTGTTGGCTAGCTTAAATTAATTAATAAAACAACTACCTGTACAAGGGCATCATGCCGGAAGAATCCTCTATCAGACTACGGAAGGGATCGGGTAGTATTGCCTTCAACTTCTTCTTCCCGTCAAAACCAGTTGCAAGAACCACAACATCGGCCTCCAACTTGGTGCCGTCTTCCAACTCAACTCCCCCACTCCAAAACCCCCATTTCGACGCTCTTTTAAATTTGATTCTTCCCTCATCGGCCTCTGAAAAGAAATTCTCTGGCAAGATGGCCATCTGACAAGATGCGTAGTCCTCCACGAACGGGTGTTCCGGTTTCAGCCCATACTTTATCAACGGAAGCTTCCATACGAGATACGACTCGATGAACTTGGAAACGGTTCTTCTCTGTACGTCCATCGTCCAAACACCACAAATTATATGTAAGCTAACTAGAAGAAATCAACAATATTAGCAGCAATCAGCAGGTCGACTACTCATGGTAATGGTTGTTGCATGACTTACCAATGGAGACATGAGGAGGCAAAGGAGTGTTCCGAGAAAGCCCTGATTAGGCCTTTCATGGAGAAACTGAGACGATCTTGTTGAATAAAACAGGAAAAAGGGCAAGCCCCAAATCCAGTAAGAGGGAACAGTCCAATGGAGGGTCCTTATCAGCATAGTACATGGTTGCCCATCTGGTCCTTCAATTGCAATAATCCAACCAACAACCCCAGATACAAGTAATCAATTTCACAGAAATGCAATTCAGTACTCTTGTACGTTCCAAACAAATTAAATCAAAGCAAGCGCTAGCTTATAAGTACACAAGGGAAATATGTTTATTATTAATCTTTTTTCTTTTTTTTTTTATTTTGAGAGAGCGGGGAGGGAGGTGAGAAAAATCTTAATTTCATCGATATTTATTAATTAGCTAGACAGAATCTGATGATCTCTATTACCAATTCTCTTCTTTTGTTTTCTTCTTTCTCTTGGCTCTTGGGAGGTTGGGGTTAATCCAAGGGTCTGTACTTGATCCAATATTGAGCCCCCCGCCCCTTCCATTCCATATTTCCATGTACCTAATATGACTTTTCTATTTCAAATCGAACTCAAATTTCATTTTCCTGGAACATATATATATATATATATATATATATGCATATATACCCGAACCCTTTTTGTTTTGGTTGGGTCCCAACTCCCAACTCCCAAATCCATCTTTACTTTCCCTTTTCTCGTTTATATATACTCGTCAAAAACGTGGAATTCTAATTCATGAGACAACAGAACATTGAAAACGTGCGACGTCAACAAGTCAAGTTTCACACAATAACTGTGCATTACCAGCCAAGCTGTTGTCAGTTGAAGCTTTGACCCACGGAACATTTCCATGTAGAGCATCAAATGATCAACAACTCAGCCAGCAAGCAAAACCATGCAATTAATTTATTACCAACATCCAAAACACAAAACCTTCAACTAATTAATTAATCAAACAGATGCTACCAGCATCCAAAACACAAAACCTTCAACTAATTAATTAATCAAACAGATGCTATATACTCATCTATAATTAATATCTTCTTTCTAATCAATCAAAGTAACCAACAACCTAATAACAACAAAGAAAGATCGATCACTTCAGTTTCCTATATATATATATATATATATATATATATAATACGTATACTAGTAACTAAAATAATTGTGTCCCAGAATAAAATAATCAAATTCAATAGAATACTTAGAAGTAAATTGAAAAAGAGAAAAATAAATGAATAAAATAAGCAAAGGGAAAACATATTTAAGTGAACATGTACATTAATAATAATATATAATGGTACTGATAATGATCTCAATCATTTCTTGTAGCTTGTTAATTGTTATCAATAGTAAAAGCTACATCAACAACGTAAACCCCCCAGATTGTCTACTACTTAAAATTAATAATAATATCAACTCAACTTTTTAAATTAAAAAAAAAGTTGGGTTACTTGCTAATAAATTTCATATTTACATTATATGTCTTATCTTGATAAAGAACTTAATTATGTAATGGATTCTAATTAATTAAACCATTTTTTATCTGTTGATCATATAAGAAGGAAGAAAGCGCTAATATAGGAAAAATAGTTGTAATTAAATACCTTGGTTTGCTTCTGCACACTCAACAGCTAAATCAATGGCTGACTTCTTGTAGCCAATAACTACAACCTTCTTTCCTTTTAGTAGTTGATAAGCGGCTTCTTTGTCGAGCTTGGAGTAATCAAGCGTATGCAAGACCTTACCATTGAATATTTCTGGGCTTTTGTTGGCCGGAAAAGTTGGCAGTTTTGGTACGTCACCATATTTTCCGGTACACACCACAAGAAATTCAAAAGCATACCACTGCACGGACATGACACAACGCATCAATATATGAACTTCCCAGAAACTATGCTGCTGATTTTTTTTTTTTTTTTTGGATTAATCATTCATTTTATACAAAATTAATGATCGCTTTTTTTTGACGTTATAGAAAATTAGTGATCAGTGTGTGATTACAATATAATGCTATATTGTTTGTTAGATCCATTGAACAAGGAAAAATACATTGAAGTGTTATATATAATTAACCGCCATTGTGATGATGAGAGAGAGAGAGAGAGAGAGAGTATTTCTTTCTTCGTTTTTTAGCTCAAGTGCTGTATATGGGAACCTCTACAACAGTCAACAGATACTTTGCTTGAGTGGTTGTGGGGCTTAAGCACTTTGTGGCTGACGTGGGGCGCTATTATTGGTTACACAGCCCGAACACAGCTATCATGTATACATATAAATAAAAAAAATAGTTCAAATTACGACTTTTCAAACTTTGACTCTTCTCTTTTTGTTTGGAAAAGACTCAAGAAATGAAACAATCGAATTGAAGAATTTTAATTAAATGGTCATGTGTATAAACCGGGTATTGGGTGGCTCAAAACGATTAACCAAAAGAACAACATTTGGGTAATTCAAAGTAATTACCATGAAACGATTTGTAAAGAAAATGGAATTTTGTAGAAGGAGAAATAGAGAACAAAAAGAAAATCAGACAGAAAGTGGTCAGTAGAATAAGAGAGGAAGAACAATAACCTGAATGGTATCCGACTGGTTGGTTTGCACAGCAACCTCCCAAACCGGCTGACCACTCAACAGACTCCCATACTCTCCAGGTTTCCGATCAAAATCGGAGGTTTCCCTATGGCCGGTAAACCGGACCTCCACCACCTTTGCATTGAACTTGACGTATTTCAACACGTCGAAGTGCGTAGCGTAGGAATGCAAATAATCCAAAATTTCACGATAAGAAGGGAAACTAGAATTATCTCTTTCTGGCCAAGGGAAATCCGAGAACTCGTAATCACATCGAGGGGTCTGAAGTTTTGTGGAGTTGAAGGAGCAATGCCTCCAGACACCCCCAATGGAATCCGTAGCTTCGAAAACAATGGGGTTGTAACGGGAAAGCTGTTTAGCGGCTGCGATACCGCTGATACCAGCCCCGATAATGCCTACTTTGGAGACGTGAAGGCAGTTGTTCTTCCCGCTAGCCATTTGCTTTATCTTTTGGGATGACATGAAAGCTTGGCTTTGCGAGATACTGTGTCTGATGCCTCTCAAGGTGTAGGATATGGAGTATTTATAGATAGCGACGAGAGGGAGGGTGGATCATCTAGACACTAAGAAGCACGTGAGTTAGACTTGAGAAGGAAGCTAAGAAATTTTGTTGAGGGAGAGAGAGAGCGAGAGAAGTTTGATCGTATACCAGTGAAGGTTGAAAGAGACGATGACTATTTCCATTTACAACATTTTTTATTTGATGAATTATTTCTTTATTAGAGTCTAAGTTCAGTTATCATGTTAATGTTTAATATTATTATTATAAGGCTGGTGGGTTACGGAGTCGACTTGAGTCAATCCCCATGGTTTCCTCTCATCAGTCTGATGTTTATAAGCCTCAAAGGTGGTAGTTAGATTTTTTTTTTTTTTCTGTTTGCATTAAGTTGCCAAGGGCAATTTTCTTTGATTGTTTCTGGTAGAGAAATACTCATTAATTATTTAATTTTATAATTTTGTAAGTATTTGAACTCTTGCTTGATCTCATTATTTTTATTTTCTTCTTTTATGAGGCTGGGAATTTATTGGTTTTCTTACAAGTCAAATCATCTTAGAAGTTAAATTGCTTTTTTTTTATATAATCTGTAAGCCTTATGTGTATAATAAGTCATTAACTTTTGGTAGTTACCTCAGAATCAGATGAAGAGGATATTAATATATAGTACCCCGATAGAGTGGTTTTAATAAATCTGCTTTGACTTAGCTGAGTAAAGACAGAGAGCTGAGAGACAGCCTCAAAAGCTCTTGAATCCATTTCTATCGTTTTCATTTTACAACAAACATATAAACAAAATCGATCATTCATCAAATATGGGAGTATTCATGTTTGTGTTTCCACACCCAACAACTATACATCCTAATCAGAGTTTTTCAGGTCAAGAGCAAGTAAATTTCATCTTTATTTCCGAGTCATATATATTGTACATGAAATAGCAATTAATTTAATTTTGGTAAAAATGGCCCCCGCCATGAAGTGTGAATGCTGGTGCTAGCTCCACGCGCGCTTTGACCTAACCCTACCAAACTATCTATTTAATTTATATAATATGATTTTCTATATGTATTTATGCATTTGTTTGTTTAATTATATATGTATGTGTATATGTATGTATGGCTAAGTACAATAAATATTATTAATATATCATATTTGTGCATGGAATCAGAAAGGAAGTTACAACTTACAAAACACACATGGCTCTGTGCATGGCAGGAAGCATCCATGAAGCATAGACGAAACTAGAAAGAAACGAGGAAATTTGAATTAGGATCAAACAATTGAACATTTACTGGAAAATGAAGAGTGCACGTCTGTAGAAATAAAAAGTCTTTGTCCAACGACCAAGATATGTTGGCCTTTTTGTTGATTCATTGTATTGTTTTGGTAAGTTGTTTCCATGCATCCTGTCTCTTTTCCTTGTTTTCAAGAAACATATATTCATGCTGAATTTCAGTAGCATTATTTGGAGCTAGGAAAAATACATCCTCTGTATATATTTTCTTTCATCTTTTTCTCAGTATACCAGAGAGAGAGAGAGAGAGAGAGAGAGAGAACTATCTATCCTGGGTTATTTATTCAGATTGCATGCTAATTACAAACTAGAACCTGCTGAAGGGACGATTTTGGTTTTCCAATTCTTTTGTCGATGGTCCAAAATTCAAATCATTCTATAAATGATCGATCACATATATACTATACATCTAAAGCTGATTTGTAGAGTATGTACATCTACATCTACGTACTGCACTTTTACATTGAATAATCAATGTACTTTGCCTGATCATATTCGTCAGCTACGTACATTCTTCTCTCTCTCTCTCTCTCCAAGTCTCAAGAGAGTTAATTATCAATTGCGGCAACTTCTCAGAAATTTTCACGCAAGGAAGATAAACACAGAGGAACATGCTTCTGATGGGGACTTCGAAATTCTTTTGGTTTCATATATTATAGTAAGAGCAATAGAGAAGGCTAGAATTTTGAATGATAGTAGGGAAGTTTGAACGGGAAGACAAAAAAAGGCAAAAGGAGAACCGATTTTGCATTTGTGGTTCTTCTCGGGCAGCCTGCTGCTGGCTGGTGCTGGGTCCATTATTAATTTTTCCTGTCAAAAGGGCGTACGACTGACTAATTATCTACTAAAATTGAAGGGACTGCATATGAAAATTGAAAAGAGAGCAAATCCATAAAATTCCATTCTCCTTCTGGAATTTGTATGTATTCACACTGTATATATTTGTATTTTTGCTCTTTCTAAACAGAGCCTTAAGCTGAGTTTGGAAGGAGTATAAATGCAAATATATAGAGTGCAAAACCTTATGTTTTGTACGTATTTACGCTGTACATATTTGCATTTGTATTCCTTTCAAACTGAGCCTTAGTAAGAAAATGCAGTCTTATTGAGATACAAATTACTCCATCTAATAGCACAAACATTAAATATTGTGTGTATGACCCATAACCACAGATAAGGGGCTCACCTTCACTAACAAAATGTCCCTGATGTGTACCATTGCAGGGTAGATTTGTATCCCTTACAAAAGAAAAAGTACTCATAGTACTTTAATTTGCATTACCATTAATCCATGTGATTGCATTTTCACATAAAAAGTCATATCAAGACTTGTGGTTGCACCAGAAAACCTAGTACCTTATAAATAGTTGATTGGCAGTCGAGTTCATGGGGCAATTTAGAGAATATGTAACCAAGAAGGAAATGACTAAAGGGAAAGCAGTCGCCAAAGATTGATCAGTTTGGTCTAGGTTTGAAAGGTACAGTGTTCTAACTTGATGAGCTCTAGAAGGTCCTTAGTACATGAGAATTTAATAAAGAAGTTTTTTTAACCCCAAAGTTTACTCCAGGATAGGGGTGATCAACAAAAACCAACTGAACCAAAATGAAGATATTGAACCCAAAAATGTAGTTGATCAAACCAATCAATAATCAATTCTGCTTTTTTTTTTTTTTTAAACAATGGTATTGATTTGATTATATGCAGGGATAAGACTGCATACATCTGTCCCTCCCCAGACCCCGCATTGGTGGAAGCCTTGTGCATCAGACTGTCCATTTATGTTGCACATATAAAAAAACCAAAAGACTGAAAAACAAAACCATGCACCCCTAACTCCATGTGAAGGAGCGGCCACCTTAGAATGGTGAGATCCTTATTAATTATATGGATTAGAAAAACCATTAGGACACATGTTCGTCGATCAAGAAATTAAGGCTGTGTTTGGTTTGAAGAAAATAGTAGGAAAAGAAAGGAAAAGGCAGGGAAACATTTACAAACCATGTATAGGTTTCCCTGGCTTTCCCTACCTTTTCCTTCAAACCAAACATAGCTAAATAGTCAACTAATACTTTTACCACCTCAACAAAGTGTCATCCATGACCTCAACAGGAATATCATGCAGCTTGTATCGCCTTGTCTGTGTTTACTTGCTGTGCTTTAATCTGTTAGTTTGGTTAACTATTTTTTTTTTCTTTTACAAAGCTAATAATTAAATAAAAATTGAGGAAAGGAACAAAAAAATTGCAATATTTTCTCCATCTACAAGGCTTGTCTTATGTGATAGAAAAGCATTAAAAAAGAAATTGTAAAAGGAAAAAGTAGATCCAAGACAAACAGTAGCTTTCAAAAGCAACCATACATACATGGGCTAAGAAGCCAGAGACAGGTCTGGGGGGAACCATCCATCACTTAAATCACTTGTCAAGTGTCCCCTCCTTAATATTCAAATTGGATGGGTCCCTTGTCCCTGGTCCCAGTCCCACCTAAGAAAATGAATATGCCCAAAACCAGTATCACGTGGGGACTCCTAAACCGGCGAATCTAATCTAGGCATTATTTTGGGGGCCTGTAGTGTAGTGGAAGTTGCGGATGTTTGTCTACCCCAAATCAATCAATGTCAATGTATCCATTCTTATTCTTGGTAGAATAGTTTTCAATTTTTATTCTCACAGTTGCCATTGTATACTATTTTGTTTGAGGCTTACTGTAATTGGTCCAATTAATTTTCTAGGCTGAAGGCCAACATGACTAGTAATTGCCCAATTGGATTTGGAATTGATCCATGCATAGTATATACATGGGTCATGGCAAAGGCTTTTTATATAATTTTTGTTTTTTTTTTTTGAGTAATTAGGAGCCATTGACAAGCTGCGTTTGCTAATTAGTAGACCGCTGGTCCTTGCACTTGACAACCCTGTTTTAAAAACCAAGAAGAAAATTCTACTCAATCTTCAATTCCATGGAGCCCATTATACTGAAAGAGGACTTAATCGGGCATAGATGACCCAACTGTTAATTAATAATCTATAGGTCTTACAGTTTTGCTCAAGGCTGAATTTTTAGGTATTATATATTAAATACTCTCCAACAAATAAAAACAAAAATTACTGTTTTGTCCATTGGGAGAGTCATATTGACTTTGACTATCTATGCCCATAGAAAGTTTTGAAACATGGACTTGTATTCAAGGCCCACAGTGTTTCACATTCTAGTCTCCGGTTCCAACCAGTTGCCTCTCTGAGAAAATCTAGCATCTAGGTTTTGGGTCGTTCTCGTGCTAGAAAACCTAACCCCCCAAGTCCAATTACACACTGCCCTTTCCCAATTCCCTCCTCCCTCCTACTAAGTTTCAATGTCAGTGCCCATTCAGTTGAACCGGCCGGCCCGTTTTTATTGAATGATTTTCATAGTTTGCATGAGAAATGAAAACCCGAGATACCCAGCCAGCGACGACCCACCTAACCATTCAAGCTCTCTAGGCACATTGTTGGATCTCTCTTCTCCCTCCATTTATGTGGAAGGTAGCTTGTTTTGACCAATTCTTGGTGAAGGAGACCAAATGTTCTAGAGAGTTTATATTGCCAAGCTTCTCCACATTTCTCATGGGGTTTTCTTTCTTCTTCCTTTCCAGTAGGTAGTTTTGATTTTAAGAATACTTGGGAATTTATTGAATCGAATTGGA